GACCAAATAAAAACATCAATGACAACCCTCCACAGAAACACACACACAAACATTCACACTAACTAGCTGAAGCTACAGCTTTACCGCAAATCCCCTTTGTGTCACACTTTGTTCCAGAATGAAATACCTCAACAATTATTGAATGGATTTTATGAAATTTGGAACAGCCATTCATCGTCCCCAGTTTTAAAATCCAGATGACTTTGGTGACTTCAGCTGATGACAGAATACCTCTTGTTCTTTCCAAATCTTGAAAGGGACCTATTATGCTTTCCCTTATTTTCTGTCATATATAAATGTTACAATGTCTAATGGTTAAGGTGGTCCAAGTTTCATATAATGAGGAAAACATATGTTTAAGCAATCCCTATGAGCAAAAACCTCAGGCTTAAAGGGAAATTTAGGTTTATTTCAACCCGTCTCCTATCGTCCTAAATTTGTTTCAAGTGACTAGTGACATAGAAATAATAGTTAGCATGTTAGCCATTAGCCTAGATACAGCCGTAGCGTCAGACCTGTTAAAACGTAATTGAACGGGCAATCTTTCAAGTGCAAAGTTAGTCCACTAAACAAGCTATTTTCCACAAAGACCGCCTCATATCGTTAGGATAAATGTCAGAGAACATATAGAAAACGACATGTAAACATGTTGTCTTACCTTACCGGTGTGCTGCCATGTTTGTTTACAATGTAGCTCTGCTTTCCAAGCACGGCCGAAATATCGCGAGAACAAACAGCGATCTCATAGCGTGCCTGAACAAGCAGCAACAGCTGGAAGGCGGAACTGGACAGTAGCCTGAACGGAGGAGGAGGAGAGAGAGAGGAGCAACAGGTAACGTTAGAGGACGAGAGAGGAGGAATGGCTGCCGCAATCTGGAGATTGGTGGTGTACCTGTGAGGAATGCCTCTGTTGCAAGGAATGGGACCGGTTGCAGCCTTATTTTCAAGGTCTGGATGTGTCCGAGGACGAGACACCTCCTGGAGTAATGTTAGTATCCAGCTGGGCTTTATCTAGAGTTGGCGAGATATATTTCAGCTACGCTTTGGAAAGCAGAGCTAGAGGGATAAACAAACATGGCAGCACACCGGTAAGGTAAGACAACATGTTTACATGTCGTTTTCTATATGTTCTCTGACATTTATCCTAAAGATATGAGGAGGTCTTTGTGGAAAAAAAGCTTGTTTAGTGGACTAACTTTGCACTTGAAGGTTGCCCATTCACTTAGTTTTAACAGGTCTGACGCTACGGCTGTATCTAGGCTAACGGCTAACATGCTAACTATTATTTCTATGTCACTAGTCACTTGAAACAAATTTAGGACAATAGGAGATGAGATGAAATAAACCAAAATTTCCCTTTAAGGCCGGTCTGAATACTCTGTTCCCAGTGTTTCCTATACTTTCGAGGCGAGCTGGCATCAGCTTATGATGGATTTCTTTATATGGTCATCTGCTCCAGGCACACCACTGCAACTGTTTACATTAAGTAGCCCACACTGCTACATGTAGCTACATGCTAACATAAGGGAAACATGTAATCTTGGTTGCCAGTGTTGTTTAATGCTGGAACATGTCCCATTGTGTTTAGTTTTTATTAGGGATGCATAAATTGTGAAACTGTGGGCCTATGATCGAAATCAACACATTTTCACTCCGACCTTGTCGCATATCAACATTTAGTGATGCACCTTCCATGTCCAGATACGACGTGAAAGGCACCCTGGGAATGTTGGTTGTTGACATTCTGGGACACTGTGTCAAGTTCTGCCTGTTACATGCATTGTCTTCTTTCGAAATACACTTCCATTTTCAGGGGACATTTAACGTTTACATACGGTCTCTTTCAAAATAAACACACTACATCAGTACAACAATGCGAATTGCAGGGTTTTTTTCTTCAGACAACTAACACACATGGTTGGGTTAAGGAAAAATACGGGGTTTGGCTTTATAATCTTACAGGATGCAAACACCACTCTCCCGAAGGTCGGTGTTTGTTTGACCCATCTACCACCACCACTCCCACTCACCCTACTCGGACTTTTGCCACCTTTCGTGTCCCGCCTCACTTCCCTCTGACGGCGGCCAGCGCTGTTAAACTATAATGGTGACTGGCCGCGTATCATACCATTGTTAAAGGACAGCTTTTTTCGTCAGTGTCTGACGCCACAAGGTACTGCCCAAGCGTCGGATTTCGACGACTTTAGACTGAGACCGGGTTGTTAAAATAACAATTTTGCCAATAGTCAATACCGATACAGATCTTTTTGTTGTTGTTGTGGTAATTTGTTTTTTTTACTATTCTTTATTCCCACTTTTACACCAGGGAAACAAAGAAATCTTAAATATAAAAAAAATAATAATAATAATGATAAATTGTTTAAAAGTCACTCTGCCCCATTACACTATCTTTGATTGAGCATACAATCAATCATACACATTTTTGAAACAACCAATGTCAACACGGATTTGTTGTTCACAATGTAGCATTATTAGGAGTTAACTGCGTCCTTTCATCCCAAAGGCATACTGGGGAAAATCTCTGTTCTTCCCAAACACATTTTCTTTTATCCCCAGGACGACATAGTCTCGAACACTGCTTTTTAGCCTGTGCAGAATTGATGTTACACAACAGAAAAATATTGTCCACTGCCATTGGTGAATATCACCTTAATTGCCGATGGAAAAAACAAGGCAAGTGACATCTAATACCAATGTGTAGCTATGAAAAATCAGTGCATCCCCAGCTTTTATTGGGGATTTTTAATTGCTAGACAGTGCAACTTTACTCTGTTACAGTCTGCTCAGCTGCAATAATGGTGCAGAGATGCCCAGAGCGCAAGTATGGAAGACCCAGAAACGCTGACCAATTAGAGGAGACTGTGCTTTTTCGGGAAGGGGCTTAAAGAGACGGGTGTTTCAGACAGATGGGGGGATACAGATGTTCCAACACAGACAGGATGAGGAAAATAAAGTGTTTTGAAAATGAAAGCATGTAAACACATTTAAGTAGAAACCCAAAGTACAAGTATGAACCTGAAAACAAGCATAGTAGGTCCCCTTTAACCAAGCAGTGTATGTGCCCAAACCTTAACCTGGTGGTGGCAAATCAGAAAACATCCATATTAAACAGTTTCATGACCATCATTTGTGAGATATAGTCCTCCCAACATTTTGTTTGTAGGCCCCACCAGAGGTCAGAATCTAAGCTTATTGTTTAACTTTAGTAGTTTTGTTTTCTTGTATGTACAGTAATGAGCATTACAGCCTCACATGGAGAGATTTTGAGTTCCACTTCCTTCACATCATGCACATATAATGAACACTGATAATGAGGTCTATTTGCTGAATGGTTCCTTGGGCTTAGGTTTATGTGGTGTGGTGAGCGCATACTGTACGTGTGTGTTTGTGTGTGTGTGTGACTGAATGCCTTGAGGAGAAAATTCACTGGAGAATCAGGAATACACACACATGCGTTCAGAAACACGTACATGTGAGTATAAATACACACACGCCAGAGGGATCTCTGCCAGTGTGTGATTAGATACGCATCTTTTCAAGCAATCTGGAGCAAGCAGCAGGATCCTGGCAAATAATATTAGTTCTGCATAATTCTCATTTTGTTAAAGCTCTCTTCCATCTTATTTTTGGATTCTGTTTCCATTCATAAGTGCTGTCGTGTATTTGCGGATGTATGTGTGCGTGCATTTCAGCGTCTCTGCCAGAAATGTGATCTAAGCATATCTCAGGGAGTTTGTATTGTAGTGCTGGAGAAAGTGGCTAATTTCAGCACGTGTCATGACTCATGATGTCAAACAAGCAAAAGAAAATAAAGAGCTTTACCCCCAAAATAGCCTCATCACAGTGATTTCACTCTCTATCTTTTATCCGAGTCTTTTTCATCTAATCAAAAACATTTTCCCGTCCTTGGGAGCATCAAGAGCACGGAAATGTGAGCTTTTATCTCAGCTGACACTTTTTCTGGTCATTTTTTTATGAATTTTAAGTCAACCTTGTAAAAAATTCAAACCCAGAAATACCTTGATCTGCTGGTGAACTGGAAGACTTTGCTTTTCTTGAAAAGGAAAAAAATGGCAATATGGAGCACCCAAGTGGGCTCTGATAAATGTTTAATATGAAGAGTTTCTAATGGTGCATTAACTATACGGGCTACAGTATGAGTCACTGCAGCATGACCACTCTGCAACAGCACCAAAGGATAACAGTGTTGGCTACAGTAAACACCTACTGACTGTACAGCGTTGCCTAAAATGAAAACTGGCTTCCATTTCAATAAAACTGAGCTTCACTGCATGCTGGCAGTAACCAGTGATTCATGCTTCAGAATAAATTCACTGTAATATTTCCCTGGGGACTCACATTGTCACTCAGTGGTGACTTAATAATGATCTAATATATTTTTATCTCATGGGTATCAGTATGGCACTTCCATATTCTTATAGAGCTGCAGAGTTTTGCTTCATCCTACTCTTTTAAAAGTTATTAAACCACTAATAAAGCTCAGTTTTAATATATACAGTTCAGATATTATATTCTGGATCATTTGGTGAGAACATTTGATTTTTCTGTACCTGTATGGACACTCTATTGCCTTTTTGAAAGACATGTGAGTGTGTTTTGCTTGGACTGGTCACAAATAGAAGCTCAAACCGGGGCACTTTATTTGAATTATTGATGATAAATGAAATAATAATAGCCCACAAAAAGAAATAGCATAAATAAACCGTAAATAATGAAATAAAAATCACTAACTTGCCTTTTGAAAGCCTGACCTTGAGGACTGAATCTAGGTCGAATTATTCTCGCTCTATGCATTAATAAAAATTATCATGCAATTACCATAACCCCCACTTTCCCCCGTATTCCGCGATAACACTCGCAGGGTGCGCGGTCTTGCACGCATTCGCACATGCACGCGCGCTCGTGCCTCTTAGTCTTCCTGCCAACGCTCTATAGTCGCGGTGTCCCGCACAGCACGAGCAAACGGTTGTCGTTTTCAGCACGGGACAGATCCTGCACCCTCTCACTGCAACATGGCGACAGAGGTAAGACATTCAGCTCCTCTGCTGCATTTTTTTCTTTTATTTTATGAGGAAAAACCCGACAAATGATTCTGTTCCTCCGGGTTTTTTTTTCTAAGAAATGCAGGTTGAGAACTGCAGTCTTGTAAACTGAATGTGTTGCTTCTTTGCCTCCGATTTCTGTGATCCACCGTGGTCAGTTGTTGCCTTAATTGAGTCAAATCAGCCTGCTGGATTTGGCTTATTGTAAATGTGAAGTCGAGAAACAGGGAGTCATGTCACGTAAAGAATATTGTTCCCCCAGGAGCTTCTATTTCACTTTCTTTCATCACACTTTGAGCTCTGTAATCACACTCACACATCCCCAGAGTTTTCCTTTCCTTTTCTTTTAACCAGATATTCATGCATTTTCCAGTAAGAAACTAGATCCAGTGTCAGCCAGGTGGAGAATATCCAGTCAGAGCTGTGGAGGCTGGTGAGAGTGGTGGTGGTGATGATGATGGAGCAGTCAGCACCATGGACAGGGACAGTCTCTCTCTCTGTCTTCCCCACTGTCATACTTTGAAACTGGCTTGACAAGGCTTTGCATTTGCAATGAGCCGCAGATTGAATCAGCTTTCCATACTCTGCTCTGTCTTCATGCCTGTAATCAATGTAGTCAACATGATTGGCAGCTCTATACAGCGAGAGGATGCACAGAGACTGTATTGTTCAGGCGGTGTCACGTAACTAGTTACTCCACAAAGCATCAACAGTGCTTGCTTGGTGTATTTTTAGCCTCAGTAATGCCTGGTAGCTCTCGGGCCAGCAGCACATCTTCCCCTCTCCCCCTTGGTGTCCTTGGTGATGTCACTATAATGTTGAAGACATAGCTGCCTGAGTTATCATAATAATGATCTCACTAGAGGAGGCAGCCATTACTTGGAAAGTTTGAGCCAGCTTACACTCATGCAGGTAATTTGTGCATGTGTGTGTGTGTTCATATGTATATGTGGGTGATTGATAAGTCCAGTTTATGGGTGAGTGAAGTTGTAATTCAGGTTTAATGGTGCTGCAGGTGAAGGTGCAGTGGACAGTAAGCTGGACAGGATTCATGATTATGTTTTGTTTTTTTCCCCCTCTGAGTCTACAAGATATTGGCAGAGTGGCCCTGATTTCCTCTGGTGGTCTGCCAGTATCCCTGTCCAAGTCCCATCAATTACACGCACACACACTTCCACGTAGATGCACACAAACACATCCAGTGTGTGTGCAAACCAGGACAGATTTAATGTCCAAGGTCCATCAATTATCCATGGCATATTTAATACGAACAGGCTGCTGCAGTTTGTAACCATCAGTGATTTGAGTTTGAGACAAGCAGCAGTTTACTTCCTGTCCGTGCTTTTATCCACCTGCCTCTGCCGCCGTCTCTTATTATATTAGAACTCATTCTATGACATTTATTGTATGCCAAGTCAGCAGATGACGACGTTAAGTGACTGAGTAACACTCAGCTCGTACCGCAGACTGTTTGTGCTGCATGGACGGTCTTTGGATCCATTAAGTGCACTACTGCCAGATCCTCCTCTCTGTCTGTAGGCTAGCCCTGGCTGGAGTATTACGCTGTTGACGAATAATGTGTGGAAGCACAGTAATCATCTCAGAGGCTGGCAGAGGCACAGCTCTCTACTGAAACAATGCTCCACTTTTATCCAAAAGAGATTTCCTCTTCCAGCTTTGGCTTCAGAGCCGCTGATCGTCCACCTAGATGTCATGGAAATTTGACTGTTTTGTCAACACTGTCTAAACTTGAATGATTTATAGACCCCTGGCTAGCCCGGCTTGGCAGCAAGCATGAAAAAATGCTGCTCCCAATGGCAGGAAACCCGTTATATTATGAGGAGATGAAAAGAGAGAGCTGAAAGTAAGAAAAAAAGAGCTCTGAGACGAGAAACGTCTGACTCTTGAGTGTACTTACTGTGCATGCTGTAATTGTGTGTGCCCTTTGCGATGTCTGCCCACTGGCAGCACTCACCCGTGCTGTCGCTATGTGTTCCTTGAGTCGAAGTGACTAAACTATGAAACATGTCATGGCAATGAGCGTAACGCACATTCACAGATCCAAGCTGGAGGAAATAGATATGGGGGAGGTTATTAGAGGAGGACTGACAAAGAAAATATGTTAAAGTGGACATCTTTATCATTTTAGCGAGAGGTCATTAATGTATCATGTGTCATCCTTTACTTCAGGTTTAGATTGACATAGAATTCTTTAGTTCTTCAGCAAGTGACTCTATCCACTCATAAAATATGGAATGTATAATCTTTGTACATGTTCTGCTGTTTTGTTCATTTAATTCTACCTTTTATTTTCTTTTTCAATATGTTTTTACAAGCTGCTTAACTGGTGTTAAATCCTCCTCCTTTAACTTATTTTCACTCTTTACTTCACTTCTGCATTTAATCAATGTGCAAACAAACATAAACCAAACTAAAAGTAACAGATGTGTGGGAGGATGGAGTCAGATGGTGCCGCATGATGCCGAGCTTCTTAATAGAGTCCTGTGTGATCACTATGACATTTTAACATTGCTGTCTGCTCGCGTGCTATATTTAGACAGTAATAGACTGGATTTGAACCCCGATCTCCCACGCAGGAAAGTAAACATCAGCACTCTGCCAACAGAAAACATTTATCTTAAGGGCTTAAATGGACACAGACAAGACCGCTCTGTCGGTAACATCAACACCACGTGACTGAAGAAATATTTCATGAAGTTCCTTCAGTATCAAGGCACCATAACTGTTGGAGAATTTTGGTGGTTGTGGGTAACTTTAAAGAGGCCACAAGCTTCCTGGTTTGTCAAGGTGAGGTCGGTTGACATTAAAGGAATACTTCACCCACAAAACGATAATGTGTATGTCAGTTACTCTCTCTGAGTTGTGTTGAATTTATGAAGAAGACTTTGTTTTTCTCACATGCCTCCATGGTGAAAGAGGAGTCCAGAAACTGAGAAATTTCTTGACGAATTGAAGTAAATGGGGGCCGTGTTTAACAACAGCAAAACTACAAACTCTCACACAACTCGTGCAGTATAATCCACGTCTCATTTATCCAGTCATGTGCTCAGTACTTGCTCACACTTGCACATACATTTTCACTAAAGCGTTACTATCTAAATCTAAATCTACTATCTTTTAATGTAGGCTACCCCATGTTTTAACAGATCTGGGGAAAACTGCATTCTCCTACTATGCACCTTGGACATAAAACAATCCTCAAAAAGATCTAAAATTAGAAACATCAATCGATGAATTTAAGGGCATTATAAAGAATGTGGTGACAGAGACATGTGCTTGTTTTTTCTTGAGAGGTCTTTATGTTTGAATAGTTGTCGTGTTTTATTGTGGATGTTTGTGTTATATGTTGTATTTGTTGCATTTTAAATGTGTTTTGATTGGCTGCTACCTTGGCCAGGTCTCTCTTGTAAAAGACATTCTCAATCTCCTGGTTAAATAAGGTTAAAAACATAAATAAAAACACTTGCGCATCACTTAGGCAATTGCATGCATTTGAACTCTGCTCAAGGCAATGCACGAGCATAGTTCAAACACATATGCTTGTCCAGGTGTGCTACTTGTATGCGGAAGATATAGTTTTGCTGTTGTTAAATGTGGTCCCCTTTTACTCCAATTCATCAAGAATGTTTTCAGTTTTTGGATTCTTCATTCACCCTGGAGACATACAAGAAAAACTAAGTTCTATTCACAAATTCAGCGTAACACAGGGTGAGTACTAACTGATATACAAATGATCCTTTTGAGGGCAAAGTGTTCCTTTAAGCAGCACAGAAGTTCATATTTGATTGGCAGGAAGTTCCAAATTAAGGGCCACATTCTCACAAAGTGACTGCTGCTGCAGAACGGCTCACATCCACAAACCACCCAATCAGAACCTGACGTGAAGTGACGCAAAAAGCACTGGCTGCCACAACACTTTGTAAGATGCATCAGTTCTGACCTTCAGCCACGACATCTCCTTAATTCGGACTAATCATTTCTAAACTGTGGAACACAAGTTTCCAAGTACATTAAAATCAGGGGAGTGGTGGGAGAGATGTCCTCCGAGATCCTGTGTTTGGACAAATAAATAGACTTGGCGTCTGACTGGCTGTCACAGAGACACATGACTCCTGCCTGCTTTGCTCAGCTGCGAGCTACATGTAGCACAGAGATGTAAGACAGGGGTCAGCAGGTCACCGACGAGCCAAAACACACCGTGATGTCCCACTGGCCTGAATGCAGTGCATGTGACAGTTCAAGGCGAGCTGGCGAGTTTCACTCTTTCTGGTCTGGACTCCTGACAACTAAAACGTCTGTGCCCTTTCTTCTTTCTTCCTCTCTTTCCTTAGTTCCTTCTGTCTTTACTTTTTTCCTCACATCTTTCCTCAAATATTTATTAATTTCCCGCTTTCGTTACCATAGTTATTTCCATATGCCTCCTCATGTCTTTCTTCCAATGTATTTAATCTCTTTCTTTCTGTCTGTCCTCTTTTTCTTTCTTTCTTTCTATACCTGAAGCATTAAAATCCACAAAATTGGGCACATGAAGTTTAAATCTGGCACCAAAACTCTTACTTTGGAAACTTACTATTTACTGCTAGTTTCTGTTTGCAGTAAACAAGTTTAAACCCTCCAGTCAAAAGTTGAAGGCAGATCCCTATTCTTCAAAGAGCATTGTCCCCTGTGGTTTTGCCACTGACACACATACTTCCATGTGAAAAACCAACGCACATACATGCACCCACACGCACTCTTACAGTCACGAACAAAGAACCTGTAATCTTCATGAATCTAACTCTCAGCCAACCGATCCTCACTTGGATAAATGATTCTCAATCGTGTGCTGATAATTGCTTCTATTAATAGAGTGACTTGTTGTTCATCATGATGGCCCAAAGATAGTGTGGAGAGGAGGAGGAGGAGGGGGAGGAGGGGGGGTCCAGTGTTAGAGAGACGGTGAAGGCAAAAAAGACGGATATTAAAAGCTCTGGCAGACAGAAAGATCTAGTGGCTGCGAGATGATTTTGGCTTTTGGCTGACGGAAATAGCAGCTTGGATGCTATTCTTGGTTGTGAGTGATATTCCCTGTATATAGAGATGAAAGGCTGGCACTGTACTGTGTCTGCTTACTTGGAAATGACTCTCTTGGGCTCATACATGCAGGTAACCTCATAAACAGAGACTCTGCTTGCTTTCAATTAAAACAACACTGCAGCAGCTCGCCACACTATGACTGTGATATCCATAGATTAAAATATAGTGACTATAATAAGAACAACTGCACAAATTCTGCAAAATATGGAGTTTATGTAAAATTATTTGAGGCACTGAAATGAATGCTTTCCTCTCTCTCTGTTTCTCTCGTCCCCCCCTTTACACTCCTACTGTATCTCTAATTACCATCCTCTCGAGGAGTAATTTAGATCAGAAGGGGGCAAGTTACACTGGCCCACTTGCTTGGGAAATGACTGTTTGGGTGTAAAACACACCACTCAGCACCAAAGTGCTGTAAAGGGGTATCTTTCAAAGTGTTTGTTATTACTGCAATCGGGCCAGTTGATGCTGGAGGAATGTATAAGAGTGCTATCTACACCTGCTGTTGACGTAGCAACAGAGTACCATTATCTCACTGAGGAGCCCTGGTGCACCTGTGTTGTCCCGTAAAATTACAACTCAAAACCAGCAGGAAATATTGGATAACTTTATGTTGTGAGATGGTTTTTGGTCGGACTGGAATTTTAGTTAGGAAAAAGCAAGATTTTAAAAGAGTTGCAGCAGCATGAAGCATAAATATGAAGTAAAAGTCTTAAAAGAAAGCGTTTCAGACCTGCATCAGGAACGTCAGAGCCAGTTAAAGGCTAAAGTGAACAGATACATTTTTAGCTTTCTTTTAGGCAAGGCAAGGCAAGTTTATTTGTATAGCACAATTCAACACAAGGTAATTCAAAGTGCTTTACAGAGACATTAAAAGCAACAAGACAATTTAAAACAATAAAAACAGTCGATTAAAAAGGGAAATAGAAATTGAGAATGAAATATTTTATTTAATTATTTTATATTTTAGAAATATTTTGTGAGCTAGCTTCCCTGATATCTATAGGTAGTGTGTTCCATAGCTTTTGGGTGTACTTGACAAAGGTTGCATCCCCGATCTTCTTCTGGCTGTTGCTGGGAACCTCCAATAAACCAGCAGCAGATGATCGCAGTGTTCTTGGAGTCAAATAGTTAACAAGGGAGTTAGCAATGTAGCTCAGTCCAAGCCCATGTAGGGCTTTGTACACAAGGAGGAGGAGGAGCTTAAAATCAATTCTAAAAGTAACAGGAAGTCAGTGCAGAGCAGCTGAGCTGACATCTCTCAGTGGTGTTTTTGGGAGGCCAGTAAGAAGTGCGTTACAGTAGTTGAGTTGGCTTGAAATAAGGGGCATGAATCAATATCTCAGCATCTTTTATTATTTAGAAATGGTCGTACTGTAGCTATGTTTCTGAGGTGGAAAAATTTGGTTTTCAATTAGAGAGTTAACTTCATAGTTAACCCTGGATTTTCATAACTATGGGGCTGATTCAGTTTTTACAGGAATAAATCACCATGGTAACTTCTGCAAACCTGCTCCGGAGCAGGCTAACTTCAGAGACTCGGATCACAACCTGTCAACACCCTGACCTCTGACCAATCAGAAAAAAAACTGAGAATCTAGACATGAATAAAAGCCCAGTGTGCCCTATTTTATAGTTTAGTTAGTGGAATCATTATATTGTTCCAGGCTTTCTGTTTCCACTGTCTTTTTAAAACAGAACTTCTAAAAGATGGAGAGTATGACACAATTCATACAGTGATGATTTTAGCTGCATTTTAACTGTGCAGCTTTTATTCTATCCCCACAGTGATACCTGACGGTGTAGATGCTTTTCACTCTGATTTCATCACTGCAGCTCAGAATAATATGAGACACCTGTGTGCTGATAACTGGGATGAAAAGAAAAATTGTCCTCTATTAGAAAAATCCACACACTTTTAATTAGCTCCTGTGAATGCAACCATTCGATCGGCTTGACCTCATCAGTGAGAAACCAATTTTCCTTCCTGACATAGTAGAAACAGTCAATTAAATAGAAAAAATACCCAATATTTCAGTCAAGTTTTTGCTGTCCCAAAAACACAACGTTCCCATATCAAATAAAGTGCTCCATTAATGGTTCTGATGATGTCGCTTGTAATCAACAACCCTGCCTCTTTCACATTAACATGCTAGTGGCTGGAAAGGAAAACAGGGTTGACTGAAATAGTTGAAAACCAGCTTCATGTTACCAGTTATCCAGACGGTCACTGTCAGGGTTAGTGAAGCCATAACCAAAAGATACCCCGGGTATGTTGACCTTGCTCTGTAGTACAGGCTTCTGCTACTCTTGTACCTGCATGAATATAATTAACTTGTGCTTTTCCCTGTTGTGTAACTGCTCAGTTTCATAACCTTCAGGAGCTGAGGCACAGTGCTTCGCTGGTAACAAAGGTGTTTGTGCAGAGAGACTACAGTGAAGGAACCGTCTGCCGCTTCCAGACCAAGTTCCCCTCAGAGCTCGACAACAGGGTGAGCACAAACACACACTCACATACACACATCTAATAAATGTTGGCAAAAGCCCAACTCACCTGAAACAACACCCACACTCTCCACCACCGAGAGACTGATGACTTAATATAACTTAATGAGATTAAACATCCTGGATGACAGAACACATGTGAATGATGGATATCGGCTTGTGCATTAACTTGTAAGTCTTTCCGCCCCATCCACAAAGGCATACAAACTTTTGCAGCATGACCTCTAATATCCTGCATTACTAACTCGGCAGAAAAAAGCAGAATAAGTGTAACAACTTATTAAAAATCTTTGGTGTCTGCGTACAAGAAACATTTTCACACTTAACACTTACTGTGGGCACTGGGAGAGAAAGTGCTGTTTATTTGCTCTTTTCATCTTGCAGTATTAGCATTTGTGAACGCTATTATGTTGGGGTTTTACTGTAGATTTGTCTAGCAATTAGCATCAGAAGCAGACAGTCCGCATACACAGAGTAAGTAAGAAACATAAACAGAGAGAAACACAGAGGGAATCAGTGCAAAGGGAACATTAATAAACATTTTTTTAATCACTGCAGTGTAAATGTTCCCTGTCAGATGCTCAAACACAGCCCATTGCAGTCACATTTTTAAGTACTTTTCCATTTTAGCCTCAAGTTCCTTCTTATTCTTCAACTGAGGTGTGTTGATAAATTATTCGACAAAGTAGGAGTACTTTGGGTTGAGCAGAATGCAACTGGTATGTTTGGCAGGCTGTTTTACAGCTGAACAGCTTGCTCCCACAGCTATGCCAAAACTCTTTTCACTTTCTCAGTCCTAATGATGTGTGCATGCCTCCATATCTCTACCTTGGTGTTTTTTATCTGTGTGTTTGTAAGTAGATTGAGCGAACCTTGCTCGAGGAGACGGTAAAGACCCTGAACTCTTACTATGTGGAGGCCGAAAAAATCGGAGGTCAGTCGTACCTGGAAGGATGTTTGGCTTGTGCAACAGCTTATATGGTGTTCCTCTGCATGGAGACACGCTATGAGAAGGTAATACACCTGTGCACACTGAAATCCAAGCACATAAAATGACCGCTAGTGTAACAGAAAGCACATTTACCTACACAGAAGGGTTTTATCTATGCAATGATGACAGCTAATTGACTGTGACCCTGTATAGAAAAGTTGATCATTGAGCAACACCTCGTCTTTCACACAACTAATACATATAGACACCCATAGGCAATTTACTGATCCTGTCCTATTGAATGATGTGCAAATATGCATGTGTAGAGAGGACACCGAAACACCTGGATGATACACACACCAGAGCTCACTGTGCTGCCATGATAAATATTCAAACACTGAATCATTCTGATATTGAAATATTGAAGATATGAAGGCCGTTGAATGGATTGTGATCCTCCTGATCCTGTGCATTGTTGCAGGAATATCGCAGCTCAACCTTCTTCATTTCCAGCTGGTTAATTTACACTCCACTGCCCATCCACAAGATTTATTTACTGTGATATTTTTATGGAAGCCAGCTCTCTCTCAAACACATGCCCATCCAGTTGTGTGTTCTGGTGCACTATGCCCCTCTGAGGTTATTTACACCCACTCACACAGGGCAGCAGAGCCAAAAAACAGGAGATAAGATCTGATTCACTCCTGCACAGCTGTCCATCCACTAGTTTGTTAATCCTGCCCCAAAGCCGGCACCTGTGTGCTGCTGGGCAAGGCATTGCACACCAGCTGTAACATGGCATTCACCTCCAACACAACCAAGACATCCATCTTGACAACGGACAGGTGATTAAAACTCCACACCGCTGTGTCGAAGCTTATCAAGATGGAACAGTACACGCATGCATAACACAAACACATATAGAGTCGCATACAAAGTGAGTTTGATTAATTCTGTTGTGACTGTGTGGGTACCGCCGCTGTTTCAGATGAAACTTGAGTGGCGTGAAGTCCCAGCATGCCTCTGTGTTCTGATCTCTGTCACCCACGACATTCATCTTCCTGGTCTTGTTGCGTTTTGTAAACATTTCTTTATCAAAGCAGTACAGAGGTACTGGGAGCTTGACCAAGAAGCACAAAAGGACTTATTGCTGTGTTGAAGCCATGCACAGACGGCCTGTTCTGAGGCTCCTTTCATCTCCCTGTCAGCTGGGTGCTGCTCCATTGGGACGCTGAGACGCTATCAGCCCCACAGGAGAGTTGTTTATTCACTTGTTTAACTTCATCATCTTGGCTGAATGACGTTTACGACTGATGATGATCAAATATAACCCACCCAAGTTGATGCTGTTTGTGCGCATATGTGTGTGTATGCTGATAAAGAGGCCACACACCAGTGAGCGTGGATCAGTGTGCAGATTCATTGGAGCCCTGGATGCTTGCATCTCACCCTATCAAAGGACACTGATTGCTCCCAGCATGTCAGAACAGATCCATGTGCGCACAAGCATTCATAAAGCTTCCCTCACACATACTATGTGCCCTCCATCTCTGACTTCTCTCTTCTCTTGTTATTCACAAGAATGTGCCTGCACATATGGGACTGACTCAGACACATATATACACACATTTCCCTTTATATCGCACCGGTGACATAAACAACTTTCATTCTAGCAAAGGGATACACACTCGTGGCATGCAAGTGAAACAGACTGTGACACCTTTGCTTCTTAGGCGATGCACACACACATTCGCAAAGCTTTTCAGGGCTGTCACAGACATGCCAGTGCAACGGCGGCACAGCTTGTACACTTGACTGTCATACTGTTGCGCTGAAGAGGACTGAGCTGCCCTGAGAGCTCGCTAGCAGTGAAAGGATCAGCCTTTTCCCTGGACCACAGTAAACCTATTAGTCAGGGCTCTGTGTGCCTCTTCTTCTTCTTCTCCTCTGTGGTGCGTCATACTCTTTGATGGAGTTTATAACAAAAGGCACAGATTGTATTGTGTTTGTGGAGATACTGTCATTGATCCAAGCCCAATATTGATTGCATTCTGATTAGGTGTTCTTGACATAGATCTGACTGATTTAAAGCAGCACAGTGGAGCAAACCACTGCCTTTTGATGGCTTCGTAAACGGCTTAACGGAGGAATTTCATGTCTTGTTGGCTCCCCGATCGTAACATTTTCCAGACATTTCATTGCGAAAGTCTCCTCTTATTTTTCTCCTTCCAGTGGGAGACAGAGAGAAGTATTCTTCCGTGGTTTAGTCTCCACTAGCAGGGGTCACTATATTAGCAGCTGTGCCTGCAGCTGTAACAGGCCTTTGACATCCCAGAGGAGTGCTGCTCAGTGTGTTGCTCTGCACCCTCTATTGTTTTAATCTCTCAAGGCTGAGTGCTGCAGTGACCTTTAGTTAACTTACAAAAGAGGAAGTGAATCTGTCATGTTCAATAAATCAGACACAAAAGTGTTACATCCCAACACAGCATACTTCAAAGGATAATTGTAGCGTGTGACTTGGACCCTATTTTTTTGTGGTTGTAAAGGTCCAGTGTGTAAGATTTAGGAGGATATATTGGCAGAAATGGAATATAATATCCATAACTATATTTTAATTTGTTTTTAATCACCGGGAACTAAGAATCGTTGTGTTTTCATCACAATATGAAATAATGGAAGAAGCTACGGTGATGTCACCTTTTTGGTTTGTACACTTATAAAACCTCAAGTTCAGCATTTAGGCCGTTTTCATCTTGGGTTTTTTAGAGCTAGAAATGAGAGGGTGAGAGGCTGGAGTTGTGAATGAGTGACTCATAGACTGTAGCAACAGCACCACCCTTAGATATGCATAACTTTTGGCCTTAATTAAATGTCAGTGGGTGAGTTATATAAAAATTCACCCCCCTTCAGTTGTCATGACGAGAAAAACTGTTTTATTTACCAGGCTGCAAACATGTTTATTTCTGCTGTAAAGTTGGGGATTTTAATACAGGGGTGTACGTGGCTCTATTCTGTATTGGAGCCAGCCTCAAGTGGCCTAGCGATGAACATGTTAGCTTCATTTTTCAAGCTCGGAGGTTGCTGCTTGGTTTTCAGTACCTTAGAATGAGTCGATCATATCTACAGACAGAGCGGGTCCTCCTCCATGGAGTTGCCATGATGTTTTTACAGAAGCCCAGAATGGACAAACTAAACAATGACTCTAGATAGGGTCATTCGTGTTTTCGCATCGGCCATCATACTTCACCTACACGCTTGGCACACGAGAAGTTTCAGTTGATTGCACTCTGCAACCTCACCACTAGATGCAACTAAATCCTACACACTAGACCTTTAACAATTAATTGCTAAAAAGCAGTCTGACTGGGAAAGAAATACAAGTGCACAAACAATCATACAGATTTTAAACAAACCTGTAGGTTGGCCAGACTTACGGGTGCAGTCAATTTTGGTTTTACATCCTGATAAAGATGAAAATAGTATGGCTAAACTGTTTGCTTCTTTGCAACTTGTCTGAATTTCTGACTGCTCCTGTTTCTCAGGAATATGTAATCCTAGAGAAAGATAGCTGATTGTTGAGTCTTAGTCCCAGGTCGTCAAATACCGAAGCTTTGGGCTGGTGGTTCAATCGACTACCAACCCAAAGTCATTAGCATTTGATGACCTGGGAATGAGATTAAATAATCAACTATCTTCCTCCAGAATTGCGAACTGAACCTTTAAATTGGTGCCTCGAAACGAATGCTAAAGCCAGAAAAATTAGACCAAAGTTGTATTTTACCATTGTTTCCCTCTAATATACAGTAATGCAGTCATTTTTTTTCTTCGAGTTATACAAATGTCTGTTGTTTTAGTACAGACACACAGATGTGCTAAAGGCTGCGGCTCCTTTGTAGAAGTTGTGAAAGCTCTCTCAGTGTACATGAGGATCAGTGGAGCATGGTTTAGCTGATTGACGTGGTTAGACAGAGTTTCGGAGGAGCATGGCACATCAGCATTGTTGGTGTCCACAGAGGCATAGCTGAGGCTGAATAAGCTGTTCTAATGATGCCACTTTAGCTAGTATCTGTCCATTTAGCATCACTGCGCATCAGTCAACAGTCATTTGGTTGCTATCAGCAGCAACATGGGACTCCATCACAGTGCTGAGGCTCTTGTAAACACTCTCCTAGTCTCCAGGGCAAACTGTGTTTGTAGTTGCAGTGCGTAGGAGAATCTTTACAGGCATGCTTCTTTGAATTTGGTGTGCCAAGACATGGTCTGAATGTAGTGCTCAGCTTCACTCCACTGCTGCTCTGTGGTTTTTAGCACATTTGATGCAATACTCACTTGCAAAACTGAAAAATTCAAAGAAGTCCAGTGCCAATGCAATCCAAATAAACTGTCCACCTCACATTTTAGAGTGTTTCCAAATTGCCCCGACAGTTAACCAAGGCATGACATTTAGCCTGAGAGAGCCATCTTTGGAATTAGGAACTAAAGCTTCCAAATGGAAAACTTCAAAAAGAGAAAAGCTCATGCTCCTCAATTTTAGTAATTCAATTCATACAGCCTTGCTTGACATGAGTGGCTTGGAACTATGTATGAAAATAACTGCCGTACTTAGAGCATAATGGAATTACTTTGAGTTTAGATTATAATGTTGAGGAAAAATAAAGACGGGCAATGACTCGAGAGAGTCAGTATCATATGCCGTATGCTAACTATGCGCAGAAGGACTGCAAACTCATTTCTTCCATTTTTCATTTTTTCCACCCAAGACAGCACAGGAGGAGGTTAAAGTTGCTGCAGCCCTGCCCTTGTTCAGCCTCTTTTAGGCACATTTTTATTATCTGTAACACAGTGTGCACTTTGAAAAGTAATATGCAGGTAATGGATCCCCAGTTGGAATGTCTGTTTCGATTTTTTTCTGCTAGATCACATGTTGTACTTGTGTTTTTAGGTTTTCATTATGCCTCCAATGTTTCTAATCAAATATGGATTACCTCCAAATGTACCTCTGTCCTTCGCTAACCTCTCTCTGCCCCCCCTGTTTACTCCAGGTGCTGAAGAAGATATCAGGGTACATCCAGGAGCAGAATGAGAAGATCTACGCTCCTAGAGGTCTGCTGCTCACAGACCCCATAGAGAGAGGAATGAGGGTTGTATCCTTTGCTTGTCTGCTGCTTTGAGTGCATAACAAATAGAGGATAAAGTCCCAAATGGGACATATAAAAGACTGAGAGGATGTAGCAGTAGTTTTGAGGTTGCAGAAACTAGGCTTCATGAGGGGAAAGTCACCAGTTAGAATCACTGGAACTGCTAGAAACATCTGGGTTGGATAAATGAAAAAGTAATACCTCCTCTTCCTCATATATTACCATCAAGGTGCCCTTGAACAAGGCACTTAAACTCCAGCTGCTGCAGAGTAGCCATTCAATGGCCAACTGTCATTCCCAGGAGTAAATCTGAAGCAGGACAGGGCTGAAAAAAGCATGAGTGCTCCGTCAAATGTCCTTTGATAAGAAAAGGTGAAAAAGTAACAGGGTGATGTGATCAATTAGCACCCTAAGGTGTGTACATGCTTGTGACATTGTGTTTGGTCTGCTCAGGCCATCTTGTTCTGTTTTATCGTGCCAAAATAAGGTGCTCTATCACAATCTTTTCAAGTTTTTCAAGTCTTTTCCAGCTCCTGACAAGGCTCATCATATATTCTTTTACAGTTTTCAGAAGTGGCCAGATGTGTGTCTCTCTGTGTCAGTCGGAGAGATCCCAGCACAGCTCCTCATGTAGTTAAAAGGCAAAGGGAGAGAGAGAATGTGTCCAGTAGACCATCACACAGACCTGGCCCCAGACGGGCTCAAAGAACAGGCTCCAAGTCACAGGGCCAACCTATTACCAACACTTATTAGTCAATACACCCCTATACAATATGTTCTCTGTTTGTGAAGGCTTGTTAGAGACCTCATTCTCCCAAAGAACAGCACAGTATGTGTCTCACCCTTATTACTTTGAGATCACAATCTTTTAAACTCAAAAGGGCAAATCCACTTGCTGGGGTCCAGACCTTTGAATTCACCTGCTCCACTGACTTTGGGTTGACTGATTCATCTGACTTAGTGACACAAACAGTGGTTTCTAAGTTAAAACAAAGAACGACCAGTGAGCGCCGCAGGGGAACTTAATTAGCCAATCAGTGCAACCGGTGGGAGTAAAGGCCTTTGCACACTGAGTCCGTTTTTTTTCCGGATGCATTTTTTCTACCCACTATCCGAAAAAAAAGAGAAACCTGTTGAACAAGAGCTATCTGAGTTGTGAAGTGATTCTGTGCGCCCTGTTGCCCTGTCTTGTCGCAGCTGTGTCCCCCCTCCACATTTTCTATACTAATTCTTGGTCAAACATCTCTAAAGCCTTCTGATGTATGCGAAAAAATGCAGAAAATCGAACCTGTTCCGAAAATGTTTATGACGGACGAAAGTTTCTGACGTAATTGACACAATGTGAGGTCATATTTATTTTGGACATGCGACAATTTCAGACGAAAAAAATGGAGTCAGTGTGCAAAGGCCTTAACGCTGTTGTCAGGTGTGATCAAGCAGTGCACCTGAACCAATGAGGAGTAATAACAACAAAGCAAGCACTGTAGACAAGACAGACGCTGCTATTGAGGCTGTTCTAAATTGACTCGTCTTCTAAATATCGCCCAACATCGCAGTTTGTTTTTGCTTTGCTCTGCTCCACTCTGAAAACCCTGGCAAAACAGGTATGCTGGCATGGCTGTGCATCAGTGTTGGTTTAAAATGAAGTTAGATTCAGACGGACACATTGGCCTACAGTCACTGGTTAGGGAAAATTGAATTCCGCTCACATCACTTAGAGTGGACGCAGTGTCGGACTGAAGATGGAGGCGGAGTGTAATGAGTTGACAGTTGCGTCTGATACCAGTCGGCCAATTAACACATCTAGTTTGAGTGGTATCTTCACCTTGTTATGAGCTGTTTCAGATTCTACAGACCTCAAACAGTTGTATTCGGAGCACCTCGGAGACGAGTCTGAGACAGGAGATGTGCAGTATCCAACAGACATGAAGGACTCGAGTCAGACTTGAGTTGCAAATTTGAGGACTTGAGGCTTTACTAACATTGACAAAAGACTTGACTTATTTTGGTAAACGTGACTTGATAAACGACCTGACTTCTTTCAAATAAATGTTTGCATTTTTCTAGACTTTGAGAAGTTACATTTTGTTTTTGAAACATGATTTGGCAGTTTCTATTGTAATACGAGCAAACCTGGCAACCTACTGGGACGTGGCAGACTAGCAGAGGCACACACGAGGCAGCTGTCATAGAGGGGGCTAATCCAAATATAATAAAATTTGGATTGTGTTATGTTGTCAATGACGAAGTAAAAAAAGGGCCGCCGTATGAAAGTTCTGCAGATGACTTTACCACCTTACCTGTCACTATAAAACCCACAAATAAAGTTGCATGAATATGTCTTCCGAGCTAAGTTACATATTAACCAGAAAGCTAACGTTTGATCACATCATTAGAGTTTCTTATAACTTCCTTGACTTATAGCAGGGACTCATTTTGACTTCTCACCACAGTGACTTTAAGTTTAAGACTTCTGACCTGCACATATGTGACTTACACCCACCCTTGGTAACCAGTGAGAGAGCAACAGGAAACCTGGAATGCAGAGGGAGGAAAGCAGCAGACACACAAACTGTGAGTTCTTGGGAGTTTTGGCTGAATTTTGCAATCATTCATGTCAGTCACTGATCTCCCCATGCAGAAAAATTTCATGAGTAAATCAGTTGTTTAGGTTATGCACCACCACATTAACGTAACAACACTTTGAGATGAAAAATGCAGTGTCAGCAGTCCAGGAACTTGGCTGTTGTTGGACATTGTTGAGTTGTACTGCTTAAAGATCCGCCAGTACATTTTCAACCCTGTATTTTAATACTGTCTTCATCACGATGATCCTTGACATTCGCCATGTCCTCAGCTAGAGATCAGTGTGTTTGAAGACCGGGGCTCGGGCAGCTCCAGTCCCAGCAGCAGCATGTCTTCGGCAGGCAGCAGCGCTCGGTGACTGGAGGGGCAGCGCCAGGCTTACGGGTACCACCACAGGGGCAGCGGGACTCTTACCAACATCCGCATGCTGAAACATGAGAGCACCAGGTTCTAAGACGAGTGGAGAGCGAAAAAGGCGAGGAGGTGATCAACAGCATTCACACTCTCCCTGCTGGGGCCTACGATGTACCACCACGAGAACAGGAGCTGGCTTACACAAACACACTGGATAACAGAATAAACACAAGTGCAACAGAACCCACACAGCTAGCAGACACACGCACAAGCCAACATCCAGAGTGTCTGTGAGGGAATGTCTTTCATTCTCCAACAGCTATCCAAACCAAAATCTTTTGTTCCAATTTTTCCTTTCACCTTCCCTCTCATTCCATCACGTCTGTTCCATGAGTCACACCATCTCTGTCGTACAGCTGATTCAGCGGGCTTACCCTTGATTAGACTGGATGTCAGTGCTTGATTGTTTCCAGGGGGGTCACTGTCACTATGTCTATCTGCTGACGCATTGGCAGTGTAGTCTGAGGTCTGTGCAGCAGCTCTGAAATCTGGACGGAGGAAAACTACCAGCCTCTTGGGAGACCCAATGTTCTCCGGTCTCGCTGAATGATTGCATTCATGTCAGGTGGTTGGGGTCAAGCCGCTTTGAATGCTGGCAAATTGGGCCTGCTGTGGGACCGCTCTGCTCTGTGCTCTGTTCACATGCATTTGGCTTCAATATCAAACAGCTAACAGAGAGCACCTTGGATTATTTATCCTTCTCATTCACAGCAGTGGATACTAGTGATCCACATCACAGCTGCAGGTCACACTCCTACGCATACACACACACACACGCATACAAATGTACACAACCGTGCCCAAGTACTCGTACAGACACTAGTGAGGGGACATGCACGCACATGCATACTGTATACACATAACTGTGGCTAGTGGCCGTGAGTTCCTGCACACAAAATCCTGGCAGACGTGGAGTTGGAGTCGATCCTACAGACAATATTCTCTGTGGTCTCAGCTCATTGGGAACGCAAGCAAACCCAGGCAGGCCCTGTAAGTCTGCGCTAGTTTCCCTGGTAGTGTGTACATGTATCTGGCGTGTTGTGCACAGAGTGTCTGCAGGTCCTTAAAAAGCCTTAAAATGTCTTCAATTCAATTTTATAAATATAGGGTCTGAAAAGTCATTAAAAAGTCTTTGATTGAATACACAGGATGGCAATCTGGAACTGCAAAAATATATCAATGACGAAGGAAATATTAAAGAGCCTTTATTACAGTGGTTCATTGAAAGAACCAACATGTTTCGACCACTGTAGGTCTTTGTCAGGGCTTTAAAAACTGTTTTTAATTCTGTCTTTGTCAGGGCTTTAAACATTTTTAAGGTCTGGCGAAGACCTACAGTGGTCGAAACATGTCGGCTCTTAAATGATTTAGCTTCAACAATAAAGGCTTTTTAATATTTCCTTTCTTGTTGATATATTTTTGGAGTGCCAGGATTGCATTCCTGTGTATCCTGTTATTTCCCCTTTCCATGAGCACCAGACATAAGGTTCTCATCTAAGTTTGATTGTACAGAGCAACCAGTCGTCTCTTTTTACAAGTCTTAAATGTGAATTTGTGAGGTCCTACTTGCCACAAACATTTTATGTAATATAATTGATCCATCTTTTGATGTGTTTCTGTCAAAATGAGTCAGGATCTTCTGCATTTCAGTCCACATTTCTGATGCTGCAAATCTTTAAACCTACCACTGAACCTAATACTACACTTTATACATGCACTGATCTGTTGGCAAAATGTAGATTAAACTAACTCACACTAATAACTACATCTGTACATGAAAACTAACTCTGTTCAGGACCACATATAGACACTTTTAGGGCTGATGTCACGATGACGTTATTAGTTGGAGGCAAAACATGAATTGCCACCACGGGGCTGTAGAGTTTTAAAATGTCATCTTGATGTGTTATTAGGAGCCAGAACAGAAGAAGTCATGGCTCAAAACATACATTTTATCACATACCAGCCGCAACTGCCTGTCAACAAAAATGAAGACAACTAAGGTTAAATGCGATGAGATGAAAGGACTGAACAGAAGTGAATATCAAAAATGCTCACACGTGCAGCGCATACTTCATATCAGGTTAGGGAGAAAGTATTTACTGTTGTAGGGATGAATAACATCCTGTGCTTTAAGGGTTATCACGTCCACCTCATCAGCAATTGGGGAGGTATTAAGAGGAATATTGGGTTTCTCTGTAAGGCTAACTTTTTAGCGCATTAGCTAACATTAGCTTTAATAGGAAACTGCTCAAGTGTAGTCCTCCTTTGTAAGATTGGCATAGTAATCGACCACAAAGCCGACCATCCAACCTTCAGCAATCCTGTCAAATCATCCATCCACTGAGTGAGAGCATACGGGTCGGCCAGTCTGGTCCCGTTGGTCAGTGTTTACTTATTCAAGTAACCTGACATGATGCGTTCATGAATTCAGTCTGACACTCTACACTAAAATGAGAGCCCCATTGTTCAAAGAAATAGAGCATTTTATGTCTATATGAATTAACGAACAGTTACGTCAATCACACATTCACTCTTCTCGGCGCTCTGCTGCTCCATCTCCTTAGACAGTGCCTAGAGTGTGCTCTGCCACTCTAGGAGTGCGGTGCTCTGCATAACCAAATGGTACATTCTGACAGTGCTCTGAGTCCAGTTTGTGCCAGAGTGCACTTGGAATCAATATTTCCGAAAGCACCCTATGATGAGAGACTTGTATCATCTTCCTCCATCGTCAAAAACAAGCCAACAGAACTTGCTAGCTAATGTCTGTGGAGAACTGTTTTGCCTCCAGCTAAGCCCCACCTACCAAAAACGTCATACTGTTTACTAACAGCTATATAGCCTATTTCTCACCTCTATATTTGCATGCAATCAGGGTCCAAAATTAACACTAGCCACTAGCCAAATGCTAGTAAAATAAGCAAGTGGCCAGTAACCTTGCTTCACTCACCGGCCAAAAAAACAAGGGTAATCTATTGAGTGGCTGCTAAAGATTGAACATTCACTAGCCATTTGGCCGGTGAGTCAGAAAGTTAATTTTGGACACTGCATGCAATGCTTGAATAAGAGAAAGATGATTTGTCAAAAAAATGCCTTAAATTTGGTTTAAAGTCATCTTGAAGAGGTCTTAAAGAGCATTAAATCTTACTGTCTGATACTTGTAGACACCTCTGTTGTGTGTGTGTGTGTGTGTGTGTGTGTGTGTGTGTGTGTGTGTGTGTGTGTGTATGTGTGTGTGCCATCAGTTCCAGCTTTACCTAGTGTGAGAGGAGCTTACTACTCATTAGGAAGATGTCAAAAAGCAAGGATCAGTGTCCCAAATGAGAGCTGAACACACAATGTATGTTAACCAGTACAGGTGTTGATGACAGGTGTGTGTTTGTATGTGAGTATAGGTGTGTGTAGGAGAATCAGCACACACAGTTCAGTAACCTCTGTTGGTCTGCCTGTACTGCTCATGGAGATGCAGATTATTTCTGATTACAAAATGCAAAATTAAAACAGCAGTATTAGAAACACAGAGATATTGATGCATGTGAGATTTCAGATTTAAAGTGTCTCTATCTTCAAAGTCTTTCATCTTTCACTTGTCTGTTATGTATCATCAGACATACAGGCATTAGTTTAATGTCATTTTGACAGTTGTAGCTCCCTCTAGGGTCAGGCTGAGGAACTTCTGCACTTCTGAAAGTAAAATCATTAAATATATTTGAGTATAAAGCCAAAGATAGCATGATCCAAACCTAATAAGCTCCTTAATGAAACCTAATATTCATGTAACACTACTTATTCACTCAACCGCACTGCCGTGCAGGTTCCCTCGTAGTTCAGTATCCTCAGCACACACTGACAATGCAGCCTGAGGAGCATGTATTCTGTCTCTCTCTGAGGGAAATAATGCTTCCTGTCTGGCTCATGTGTGTGTGGAGTCTGATGAGACAAAGGATGATCATTATGTAGCAAAAATGTTGATGCAAGTAGACAGCACGCCCACACAGCGACCTGAAAAAACTTCAGCCCTGTTTCAGTGTCTGCATATTTTTATTTCTTTTTCCACAGTGTGTCTTCTGCTTTATTTTACCATTTTTTGTTTTGCTTTCTTTAAACTCACCTCATAACATGATCTATAAATCAACCTGGAGAGCGTAGCCCTTTGTCTGTTCTTCAGCCACATCGTTAGCTTTGAGCAAAACCCTCAGCAGAGCCCCTGCCTTGCAACCAGCCTTGTGTACTTTCACCAGAGCAGTGTCAGGTTGAAGTTAAACCGCCCACTGGCTTCAGTCCAGCGGACAGTTTGATTCCAGCTTGACATTTTACTACCTGGACAAGTGAGATGAGCCTACAAAGACATTTTCCCACAGCAGTTGACTTCAGTTGTGCTTGTGTTCAGCCTCCTGTTCTTTTCGATGCCTTCATGTTTCATCCCAGTGGAATGGATACCCGACCTGGGGCTGATGGACTGACCAATTAAAAACTGACTCAACACTGCCAATAAGCGAATAAAGAAGCTCATTGGACAATGTATAAAGAAAAAACACAGTGAGTGTGTATGAACTGTACAGGAGACGGACTGCACTGTACATGCTTGTCAATGATCATCCATGCTGAGTCTGTGAAGTGTAAAGAAGTGGATGGAAACGCCATAATGCTATTTAATTCCAAAACATCACTGTTGCCCAGTATTAGTCCCTGAAGACATTTTTAATGTTTTGATATCATCTCTAATTTGGGCATCAAGTGACAGAGCAGCTATAAAAGCATATTGTCTGTACAGCTGTGAGCTGCTGTTTAGTTTCTTCTGTAGAATGAAGATAACCTTTAGATTTGTCCAAAAACAAGTGTTGATAATGTAGCTGGTGATATTGTTAGTAATAATAACAATGTCAGTTATCATGGTGGTGATAAACAGAGGGGTGATGATGATGATCCTCAGGGGGAAGGCTGAAATGTGCCAAATTTAAAGGCTAAAATTCTTAAAGGATAAGTTCACATGTTTATTATGCTAACAGTTCTATAGACGGCACTGCTGGTCTGTGAGTTGGTCCACAGCTTTCCACACTGAATATAAAATGTCCCAACAAGTTTTGGATGGGTTGACACTAAATGTAGTTTGTGTGTTCGTGGTGCACAGAGGACGAACGCTGCCGACTCATGAGGTATTTTCAGACCAAACACTTCTGGGAGGAATTATTTCCTGGGGAACTTTTTTTTCCAGTTTGTATTCGCACCACTAATAGGAACGCTGAGGCAACGTAAGCTGGCCTACACCTATTTTGCTTTGATGAGTCAAAATCGTGTTGGTTGTCCCCTGTCATATGTATGCTCAGTAAAGCCTGGACTTTACTGCAAATGCAGTCGTCCATGTTCTCTTCCATTTTTCTTGTTACGAGCTGTTGTTTGTGTTTTAAGGTCTCTATTGTTTACACAGTTATTGCTCGTTTAAAAAATGGTGGTTCCCGGTGCTGAATTGGCTCATGTGTTGACCAATCACTGTTCACTTCTGTCTCTCAATTTTCCTCTTGTGCTGGGAGAAATTTTATGCTGGGTTCACACTACATGATATCAGCTGGAGCGTCGTACAGAGTTGGCTCAGATCGTGAACAGCGATGAGTGTCGTGCGTGATAATCCATCGTTTCATCTCATGTAGTGTGTCATGGTAGACGACAATCGACGCCACATCTGGGACATCTCACAATGTCCTGACAGAAAGTCTAACATGTTTGATTTTCTTTTTGTTGTTCATGACTTCCCCCATCACAGCGGACCAATAGAGACACAGAGCGATCTGCTGTCGTGGACAACTGTATGTCAACAACACCCCAGCCTTTTTTGATATTTTCGCTAGTGAAGACCAAACAGCAGAGTGCTACATTAGAAACAGGCCATTATTTATTATTCCCTCTGAATTTTTCAATATTTACCACTCCTGTTTGCCTTATTACACTTAATACATCACTTCCTGTACCCGCTTGAAAGTTAAAGCATTATAATTTCCGTTAAGAGAATCCCCTCAATTTCCAAACAGGCTTTTATTGTGAAATATTTGCAGGAACTTGTTGTGGAGGATTCAGTGACTTGCATAAATTGCATGTAGTACTTAAAATGTATCTTCTGCCATCTGGTGGTGCTTTCTACATTACTATAAAAACATTTCAGCTGGCACATGAACAGCCATGGTGATTGAAATAATAGTAAAATTAATAAAAAAATAATGCAAGAATAACCCGATGACATCACAAATGAAGTGAAAGACGACCAGGGATGATTGGTTGTGGACCATCGTGTAGTTTGTCAGGCCTTAGGCCAAGTCACAGCACGATTTTATGACTCCTGAAGACTAAAGTGTTGTGCAGTGTGAACCCAGCATTAATCTGAAATGGGAATTTAAAAAAAAAAACGTCCCTCAAAACAGCGTTCTCTTGTGGTGCAGACACAATAAAAAGGAGGATTCTTGGAAATGTGAAGTTCCTCCGGTCCAAAAACAGCTATTGTGTTCATTTTAAGTACCCCCATACCATATATACATTGGCGGACCAGTCACAATTACAACCAATAACCCTTTCAATGACTCTTTTAATGAATATATGGGCGTATGAATAGTGTATTAAGACAAACTCTGAAAAATCTGAACCTATCCTTTAAGACTGAGGTGAAGAAGAAGCACTGTGTGCCATATTACAAAGCGTTATGTAGCTTGTTCCATCAGGAACAACTTCTTTGATTAATGAAGACAACCAAGGGAGTGAAGATTACGATATTAAATGTATCCTCGTAAAAAGATGTGCACTGAGATATATAAGAACATTATCACGCAGCAGATTAAACTTTGGGTCCTTGATCCTCTATCATGCTGACTATCAAGATAACCTCTGTGCCAACACTAGTCTCTAGAGGAGAAGGGGAGATATAAAACCTGTTGGCCAAGTGATGATGTATAGTCCTTTTCTGTATGTAAATTCCCACATGTCCTATATTTATCTTGTACTGTATTTGAGAGTGCAGCAAGTTCGTTCAGACCCATGGAGTCATGAGTACTGTATATGTATGTTATGTTGTTCCAAGTGAGAGATTATTCATAGTGCAATATGATGTCTTCCTCAAAATGTAAAAAGATGATGTGTAGAGTTTTGGTACCAGCCTCTTTGAGTTGCTTTGAGTCCTTGGAGAGACTAAAACTGCATTGATGTTTAATGCTGCATGATGTGTGTGTAAACAAAGCGAGATGACAAGAAGTGAAATCCCAGATCAACAAAGCCCCTCAGTTGTGCTGCTAAGAGAGAGTAATTTATATCTTATCTTGATGCTATTTATGTGTTTACATCAGATTATTTACATATTAATTGAAATGGATTTATGTATGTTTTTTCTCAAAGCTGATTATTATTCAGAGCCTGCGGAGAAGAGTTTCAACTGTCTCCAAGAGATGAATAAAGTGTCTGAGGAAGTTGATGGAAAGAGAGTTATTGTGACTGGAGGCTGCTGTTTGTATCCATCAGCGTTCAAAGTGCCGTGTCTCTGCTCAGAGTTCATGTGAGGTAACGCTGAGTCTCTCTGTTACACACATCTCTCAGGACGTCCACAGAGGGAAACTCCACAATAAGGCCAAGTCACCTGAGGGCAGGGCGTCCAGGTGGTCGATACTGGAAGGTAAATTCTTGCAGTGTACCTCAGCGGCCTTAAACTGTGGCAATCCTGGAATGTATCTAAGTACATTTACTTAAGTACTGAAATTAAGTATAGTTTTGACGTACTTGATCTTTTCTTGTATTTCCAGTTTATGCTACTTTATGCTTCTACTTCAGTGGAAACCAAATATTGTACATTTTATTCTGCACTGTGTATTTAACACTATTATTTACTTTGCAGATTCAGATTATTAATACAAACACAATGAATTATGTTGTATTATTGTGGAGTAAGCTCAGCAGTATATAAAGAATATAAAAAGTAGCCCTATCTTTACCAGTACCAATATTAGTGATGTACACGTTAATGCAGGGGTGTCAAACTCATTAAAATCCATGGACCACATACCAGTAAAACCATTGCATTCACAAGTGCATCTAGTGAGCTGGATTTGACCCTTTAGCAGGCCAGTTCTGACCCCTAGACTGTATGTTTGACACTTTTTTTGAACTTTACTACTATAAATGCTTGTGCACTTTTACTTTAGTAATATTTTTACTGCAGTACTTGTAATGAAGTACTTTTATGCTGTGGTATTTCTACTTTTACTGTAGGTAAAGTATCTAAGTAAGTGGTTTCCAACCAGTCCAGCCACGGGGTCCAGATTTCTTCTAAGTGATTATTTCAAGGTCCACACAACTTAATACACTCAGCGACATACTTGCGTTTGACCATCTCTTTGAGCTAGTTTGCTGTCTCTGTTAAGTAGCTGTCCGTTAGTCACTCACTCTACACTACGAAACAACACTTCAAAATAAAAGCTTACCGTTACCTTGGAGATAAAACAAAACACCATTTGCCGAGATCACCAGAGATGGAGATCAACCCTGAGAGCTCTGTTGCTGCTATTTGGCAATAAGTTATAAGTGCATACATTGTAGATGCTAACATATTATATTCAAGTTAGTAAAATGACATAGGCTTTGCATTTTTCTGTCATTGTTATCTAATATTTATTCTATGTCCTTTTGTAATTGGTTATATTTATGATTTTTTTTTATTCAATTAAATAATTAATATTCGTATTGTTACAATTTAACTGTTCATCAGTCACTTGAATGTGTTGTCATCTGTCATTGCGTCTTCTAAAAGATTTCAAAGAGCTGTCAATCTCCTGTCAAAGAGCTTTGAAGCTGTCATCTGTGTGCAGCTCAGTCGCTGTGATGTATCATCCACTGTGCAGAGGACTGTGGGTCAGAAAAGGCAGAAAAGCATGCTGGCTTGCATTCTGCAAAATTGGACCAGATGTAGTAGAACATCCTGGGATTTTAGGCATACTGCATTTCACATACTATTTATTGGGACATACTAAATTTTTTTCTGGCACACTATATAGTATGGTTGTATTGGTATTGGAACGCACAGTGTGTTTTCTTTCCAAATGACACATTTGCAAGTCACTTGCGGTCCATTCAGAATAGACCCACAACCCACTTTTGGACCTGGACCCACCAGCTGCTGACCATTGAAGTACTTCTTCCCCCACTGGACTTGGTTGTTTTGCTGTGTTGTACATTAATGCATCACACTTGCTTGAGTAACACAACAGTCTACGCTGGGATGTAAAGTGATTTTGTTACATATCCATGTTAAGTCATTTCATCTGTTTAGTCTTAATCATGTTATTGTCAAGCAAATGATAAAATCTCACTGTGGGATGAAATCAGTAGATGCTTTGGCCACTTGGTGGCAGCAGAACAAGTTGGAAACACAACACTGACAGATGATATCACCTTTTGAGCTCATATGTCGAATGTGAGAAGCAGTTATCTACAGTGTTGTGTGTTATGTGTACAGCTTCAGTATTACTCTGTGTGACCTGAAAGAGGCAGTATAACTAAAGATCGTAACTGAAATTTGAGAGGTTTGCACTTGAACACTATGTTTAACTTGTCTCCAGTTTAAATGCTCGACAAATTTGCCTTGAGGATCAACAAAGTTTGAGTTAAAAAAAAAAATCTATTTTATACCAAGTACCACCAAAACTAAAAACTGGAAACTATAACTACACAAATGGGTGAATTTCTGTAAACAACAAGACTTCCACTGACCAAAGAAATTTGCCGTGAGTGTATGACTAATACATAATTTTCCACAACTAATCAACCCGTCTTCATCAACAACAAATTTTCCGTAAGTTCACCACGGGGACAAGAACCCAAAGGAAAGAGAGCATTAAAATGTGCATAATGACTATTTCTCCTAGAGACCGATGGTTTTAATTACAATATAAAGAAATTACAGGTCAGTATCATTAGTACACACCAAAGTGGTTTTGTTGAGTCAGCTAAAGCAAAGAAAACCTGGATATGTCAAACTTGCTCTGCTGTACACCCTCTGGTGGACAGATACACAACTCCAATTTAGTGATAATGTTGTTTCATGCTTGCTACATGTGGGGTTAGCATTGTTTATCGCTGATGGCTGACAGTCGTCAACCACTGAGCCCAACATGGTGATTTAAAAACATCGTCAAACCTTAGGTAGATGTGTACATCAGCTTCAAAAGATGATATTGTGTCAGTGGGGTGTTTTATTTGTTTGTTTGCACTGCCCCCAGGTGGCCAAAAATAATTTCTCATAGATTTCCTTTTTTTTGCACCTGTGAAAAAGGTAGTGGTATTAACTTCTGGGGCTCCAGCCCCAAATGTTTTCTCTGAAGCCCAGAATCCTTTAGGTTTTTAAAATAACTTCAACTTGTGTCATTTCCCCTCAGTCTCTCTTACTGGACCGGCAAATCAATGGAGCATCATTTCTATTGCTCGTTAACTATCGCCATCTGTAGGTCTACTCTAACATTGTCACTGGGGGTTGTTGTGTGTGTCATGAGGACATGGAGAGACACAGTCTGTCTAGACACTGTATTAGCATGTGCTTTAGGTGATCTGATCACAAGTGGACAGTGCTAAATACAAGTGTAAACAACCACCAAGACACACCGAGATCTGATTACTCAAACCACTCGACCGTATATCTTTTGTAGTGTAAATACTAATGTGTCCTGATACATCCCCGATGACAATTACATCATCAGTGCAGGATGTGGTGGTTGTAGGGCCGTCGCTACTGGACAGGCAAACTAGGCAATTACCTAAGGCCCCGAGCTAGAAGGGGGCCCCCAGAGACAGCTGACATTGGTCCATATCAATGACAATATGATGGAACTGCTATAGACACTGCAACAACGACAACACATTGGAATCCCCCCTAATGGGGCCCCCTACTAGCTGCTGCTGGCGAGTGGCTAAGTAGGGTGACCAGACGTCCCGCACTGTGCGGGACTGCACAGCATTTCTGTCTCTTTTCATGCGTCATGCAAATTGAGACCACGTCCCGCATGATTGGTTGCCACCCACGCTAGCATTGTTGGAGTACCGTAGTACTACGGTACCTCACAGTACCACTACTGTGGGATAAGTTCAAAGTCCAATAGCAAGAGGGTGAGTGTCCATGCTCCGTTGCGCATGGACACTCACCCTCTTGCGCAAACAAAACAAATAATTCAGCACGCTATGCAAGTACAGATTTCAACCAGCAGCAGAAACTAAAGGCAAATCCTGCCAGTTGTGGGTTGAACGGGGGTCACAGACACCGTATTCCTGTCAAATACGCCAGAAGATAAGGCTTACCGGCAACAGGGAAGTCCAGCTCCAGGTCCAATAATTTCCTCTTTGTTGATTTCATGACTGCCAAGAAATACCTGAACAGCTGAGGTCCAAGGTGCCTCTTGCCTAGGGCCCCCAGAGTGTTTTGAAACAGCCCTGGGTGGTTGTTTAAGTGGCAGTGCTTATGCTCTGTTTTATGTTAAGTTGGATGAAGTGTTGCGTGACTGTCCCTTTGTTTTGCCCCAGTAGAAGGAGACGTGTTGAATTCTGCTGACAGCGATATCGCCAACTGTACTGACACAAGCACTAATGTGACTAGCAAGCATGCTACAGAGCAGCTGGCGGAAGTGTGGATGTGCGCAGGGCAGTAATGAAAACTGAACACAAGTGGTCAGCTGGAGACGTGTGATATGCACAGGTGTAAACAGCGATGTGTCACTGCTGTCCACTTGTGTTCGGATGACCAAAATGCATGTTAGTACCAGGTCTAAACAGGCTCATGGAGTAGCATCTGGTCCACCACTTCTCCTCTAATACATGCAGGTGATTACGAGGATGTTCTGCATCTGTAGCTCTGAAATATTTCAGTTTTTCGGTTTGTACTCCTATGCAAAATATTAAATGTGATTGTACACCAATGCTAAAATCTAGTCCTTTTTTTTCTCTTTTAATCTCTCTGGTTGAGTAGGTGTTGGAAGTACGCAATCTCAGAGGCAATGGTTGCAATCTGCTATAAAAAGGTAAACCGAAGAATCACATATATATGGAAATTTCCACAATAAATTGATGCAGAAAAGGCACACATTGGTGCATAAAACTTCACCACAATGCAGATAGTTAAGTGTTCAATGCTCAGAATTTCATGGGAGAGGGCCCCAGAACCCCCTGCTTAACATGTACCCTACAAAAGTTAAAACAAAACATATGCCCTCCCTATGACCTCACTAATAAGCATGCAGTTGAATAAACATCTCAATGACAGTGTTAACAAAAACTGAACTTAATAATATTCCTAAATGTAGAATTTGTGGCTCGTCTGTTGTGCTGAATTGTATTAATTTGTACATGTGTAGCAAGAAAGTGGCCAGGGAGTGTGTGTTGAAGGAGGCAAGAGTGTGTTTGAAATAATGATTAGAATTAAAAGACTAAAAAGAGGCTAAATAATGCTTATATGTATAGCTTCAGACTAATTAGAGGTTTTAAGGCTAAGCCCTGGATCTCCACTGACCTTAAAAACACTTCTGTGACCGTCCTTTTTCTACCTGTGTGTACGTGTGAGCGTGTGTGTATAAGAGGTGTACAGTAGATCCATCATAGCCTGCTCATAAGGCCAAAAATTAGCGATAACGTTCTGGCAGATATTGAGGCTTAGTGTTGATCACAGGAGTGGAGACAGAGGAGGAGCGGTGAGAATGAACTGATATTTTCTCCAAGACAGCAGAGGAGTGAAGAAAAATCTCAACACCTGCGGGGAAAGGTCACTCTCACGCTAACAGGCCACTCTCTTCCTCTACACAGACCTCCTTTGTTGCTTAAAATCTTCCCCCTCCTCCACCTCCTGCTACAGGTTGTTGCCGCAATTGTTTTGAGTTTCCAAGTTTTAAAATTCCTCGTTCCTTGGCTGCACGACACTTTCTCTGTGTGTTCTACTTCCTCCACGCCCTTCCTGTTCTTTCATTCCTCGTTCTCTAAACAGGAAAAAGTGGCCTGCTTTACCTTTTCCACAACTTCTTTTCAATCTCAGTCACGAACGCCCAGGAGAGGAAAAAAAAGTCACTTTCTGGTATTGATTGGTTAAAATGTTTATTCCTGCGAATGACAGAAAATCAGTATCCCACCACTGCCTCAGTATTCCAGATATATTTTGACTGGCAGCGGTGCCTGGCAAATGCAGAGAAGTCATTATAGTGAAGTTTACAATTGTGTGCTTGCATGTAATGCATCAAACATGAAGCCCCTCCGGAGACGAGCTTGGCATCGAAGGAAAGTGGGGCCTGTGGTGACATTAGAGGAGGATGTTCACTCTTATAGTCTGCTCTGACAGCCGTCTGTGACTGGAATCAAACACAGATACACATTAAGTTTAGTCCCCTAAACAAGAACCAACAAAACAACAGGGATTCAGTCAAATAGGATAATTTGTTAGCTCTGGCAGTCTACCGCAGAGTCTCATGAGGCATCAGAACTCTGGCTGTGCTCACTCAGGCCCACCAAACATTTATCCACATCTGCCCAAATTCAAGATCACGGTGAGTTATGATTGCGCATTAAACCACTGTGATGCAGCAAACGGAAAGATTCAGTGCTACTGCTCCCTTCAAAACATTATGTACACAATACGCCACCCACACACAGAGCCTTTGTGTGCGGATCTGATTCTCAACATTTGTTTTGAAATTCTGCCGTGAAAAGCCACAGTGCTGAGTCGCTCTTTGAAGAGAGGTAGAACATAGTGGAAACTGCAGGATTTGTCCATCTGTGTTTTGGCCACACATGATTTATTGTGCTTAGCCTGCTTTTGGAGACTCTCCTTTAAATCGATTTTTTTTTTTCCCCCTGCTATACAGCCGCCCTGCCTGTTGGCTTTGGCAGGAATATCCGCTCAGTTTATTTAACCTCAGCGTGATTGACAGCCCTTGTGTTGTGTTTGCTGTTGGACCTTGCCCAAGTGCAGCCCAGAATGCGACATAAAAACACAACGTTAAGCGTCCGAGGCTGGAAGCGTGTGGTTCCAGTTAAATTGTCACTTCTGATCACTTTGGTTAATTGTGAAACAGCGGTTATTGTGTGTCGCTCCTCTTAGATCTGTCGCTGCTGTGCCAGTCGCTGCCCTCATAACTGCTTTTAAATGTTGAACAGAAGCAGGAGGAGGGCGAGGATCCTGCAGAGACAAGGATCAAGGATCTGTTTCTGTTTTCTACATCTGACAACAAACACAAGGCCAAAAGCACAAGACGCAAATTAGAGACTACGCCTCATCAACAATGTTCAATCAAGGCAGCATTTGTTTTTACATTAGGGTAAAATAAAATGCCTCAGTGGTTAGCTTTCCTGCTTCACATCTAGACTGACCCATGTGCTACAGCTTTTGTAGAGTTTGCACGCTCTTGTCTTTGTAAATCACATGGATTGGAGTCTTCTTTCGTTTGCAGTTTGGCCTTTTTGTCTTAAAAAAGCAGTTATAACATCACAGTCACTAAGTTCATTGCGGAGATCTGGAAACAGCAACATCCCTAAAAAGAAGACGAGGGGTCAGACAACCACACGTTTAAAACAATCTCTTGAGTTGGCACAAACTGTCTGTAAATATTCATTACAGGCTGACTTCCTGGTTTCTCTTTGACCTGCTGCACTTGCCACATTTGTGCTTGCACACAGTTTTTTTCTGTTACCAACATTTTGGATTGTTGAGATAAAATGGCCAAACCGTTTGCTTGTTTACAGATCATCTGACCACTCATGTTTCTCCACTTGACTTCGGGCAGCAATGTGGCCACGCTCCCAGCCTTCAGCAGGTATTCCAGTGAGTACGACATTATCATGATGGACACAAATGATAGCCAATAAAAAACTGTATGCCTTCTGCCCATTGCATACTGAGATTTGTTCCAGCCTCCGGTGACCCTGTAGGTAAAGAATAGGAATGAATTACAATGCACTTAATAATGCGTTATTATCACTTGTGCAATTATCGTTGACGTGTTAATAAAAAATGGATTGAATTAGCGGCAATTACAATAACCTACAGTCTACTTAACAGCCAGCTGTTGTGTGTGATGCCATTCATGCTCAAGTGGTTGTTGAAGTAGCTTAATCTGTAATGTCATTGACTTGTTTTAGTGTTCAGGCACGGTGATATTAGTCAAATAAATTGAAATCAAATGACTTGAGATGTGCTGAGGCAATTGCACTGTAGGCAGAGATGATGAAGCATTAGTTTGATCGCAGACTGCAATGAAGCACGGTGCATTGTTAGCATTAGGCCTGCACTGGCCTGGAAACACACTGCACCACTCCTGCCTGCTCAGTTGTTGCATCAGGGACAATGTCGTTTTCACAAAACTAGAGAGAAAATAAACCAAAAAGAAATGGCAGCTACAGTGTATACATCCACATTCATGCAGCTTTTTCTTCTCGTCTCCTTCCGCTCCTTTCTTCTGGTCATTTCCGTACTGTGCAAATATTTTCTTAACATATCCTCCTGCTATATATATCTGATCTTCTGTCACTTTCTGTGAACGCTTTGTGGTGTGTGTACATTGTGCAATTGCCGTTTATGGGACATTGTGTGATTAGTGGTCTGAAGCATGCAAAAAAAAGGCATTTGGATTATTTTTCCACATGGAGCATATGCCCACACACACACACACACACACACACACACACTGGTCCAAACTCCTCCTGAAACACACACACTGAGCATTGTGTTCCAGGTTTTATTTTTTAACAGGGACATCTCCACTTGCAGTTCATTTCAGCAGAAAGAAACACAACTGGAGCCTCTGGGACGCTAACAATGCCGTGGCAGTGACCGTGCCAGACACACACATATACACAGTGCACCCATCCTGCAGGTCGTTGGACATCATTCAGTGACGCTGTTAAGGTACATTACACAGAGTGAAAAGCTTACCTTGCTCTTAGTGCAGTCTGCTCTGTTATTGTAGTTACTGATGATTGTGTCATTTCTCTACCTTTCTGAAATCATTTACTTCCAGTGTATCCCAAAGATATGCAGCTCTGCCTCCAGCTATGTCCAAAGTTGTTGAGTGAAGCAATCCATCACTGCAAATATTGTGTTTTCATTTATTTTCTTCAGCATTGCCTCATGTTTTGAATAAACTCCAGTTTCCAGTTTCATATCTTGAACTGAGTGTTGTATAATGACCTGTGATTTCAGAGACCCCCCTACAAGATTGAATGGGCAGAGCAGATACAGTATATACTGCAGACTCTATGTTTGATTGCATATTGCATGTACATATGAGAGTTGTCAAATAGCCAACAATCTTCAATCTTCAAACGTCAGAATTAGCTGAAATGCCACCATTTCAACACGTGTATAGGAAAAAAAACAAACTGGATTCACACAACCATGTCTCTGACAATAAATGACTACATTTTTTAAGGATTGTGAAGATTAAGTAGGAGAATGTGAGAAATAGGGTCAAAAACACCAGCGTGCAATTTTGATAAACACTTGTGGATCTTATTCATGCAAACTGTGAGCTCACACATCAGTTCAAGTCTGACCACAGAGCATGATCCAAACTCCAAAAAAAAAAAAGTTTCCATTCTGACCTTACAATCTTTTCAGCAACCTCAGTTGAACTTCTTTGACACATTTGTTAGCAAACACTTCTGAGCAAACATTCGGATGTTTGACTTGACTGGACACGATCTCTCTGAACGGTCTCTCTCTCCTCCGCAGAGTCTTTGGCTCACACTGGGAGCATGACAACATCGTCGACGTGGACCCAGCAGAGATCCGTGGCGAGTAGTTTTAATTGCTTTAACACATCCATCACTGTTTGTTTATTAGTTTTTCATGCTCCGATGCCTCTTAGTTTTCAATAAAAATGTCTCAGAGAGAAATAAGTTAAGTCTCTAAGTCTCAGCTGAAATGTTTGATATTTACAGGTGGCATCTGTGGTTTGGGTCCAGCTCATTAGCAGGCTCAGGGACTGATGTCAAGGGGGCCAGTTTGGTGCTGTTGCTTAAATGGAATGTGCGCGGGTTTTTGGCCAAATATTTCAAAAATATATAACACTTGCCTCAATGAGGGAATAGGGAGAAATCCATGAATCACACACACACTCACACACAGCCACTACTCTGGAGGACTACACTCGCCAGCACTTTATGAATCTAAGCTCTGCTATGACGGTGATCGCGATCTAACTCTGGATAGGATGCTTGTGTGGTGTTGTGTAGTTTCTGCAGTGGGATTGCTGAGACGAGAGCTGACTCTCCCCAGCAGAATTATATGGAAGCAAAAAAATCTGTCAGTCAGCAGGCTGTCAACATCTTCTGACAATGTTTTCACTTTTTGGTCATCTTTTCTGCCAAAAATGTATTAATTTCCTGAAAAGTTTTAAGAAACATGGCAACGAGACAAAAATGATGTCTGTAGTGATGAATCAAAAAACAAAGGGTTCCATGTGTTTTATGCATTTTACTGCACTACAGTATGGCAAAGGTTTCAATATGTAAAACCAAAAAAGATTTGTTGTAATTTAATTCAGAAAATCACAGCTCGTCAAATAGCCACACCTTCTTCTTTTGTCTTTGTGTCTCTGCTCCTTGATATTTATTTCATTGAAATGGGAAAGGGTGTCAAATTATGATTGGAAATAAATATTTTTGAGTTGATGTGCATTTAATATTTACACTTTAAAGGATAAGTCTGGTGATATTGAATATTTTTCTTATTGTCAACCAGAAGTGTGGACTTGAGTCACAGGACTTGGACTAGAGTCACAATTTGTTGACTTTGGACCCAAACAAAACTCAAAGTTAAGGACTTGGAACTTGACTCCAGACTTGCTTGTCTTGACTTGGGACTTAAGTACTCAGACTTGAGACTTGCAAAATGACTTGGTCCCACCTCTGCTGTAAAAACAACCCTTCAAAAGACCAAAATCAACAATAAATTGATTCTGCTAACAAGAGTTTATTTCTCGGTGACACAGACCTCCATTTTTACCATCATTAAAAACACATCAGTGAGCCATGCTGTTGCACTGACATGTTCCTTCATTACAGTGAATATGGGCGCTGTAATTTATTGTGATGCACAACACCATCCTGCTGCTTTAAACAGCACACCAAATCTGCAGCTCAAAATATTTTCCAACAAAAAAACAATTAAAAAACACACAATTTACTCCTGTTTGAGTCATTCTTTTCTCTAAGAACTACATTGCCCAGCTGTTAAATTAAATCGTTAACTTTTTCATGTGAGTTTTTGACAATAATAAAAATATAGAAAATCACCAGCCTTATCCTTTAAAGTCATTTTATGGGGCAAATGATTTTACAAGCAAATATTCATAATAGCCACAATGACCCATGCAAACCCTAACTGCCACATCCCCTTTAAGCCATTTTTTTTCATGAAAACAAACACACATGTTCAAACACACGCACACTTGACCTATGTGCCAAATTTCACCCTCCTAGGGTGAAAACTGTGTCTGTCAAAGGGTGGGGAATAGAGCCAAAAATTGTTAAATAACTTCTTATAGATTCAAGTCATCTTTCCAGCATCTGTGCTTAAACATGTAAAAACATCACCAGTGCTACATTAAATGAACTGCTGAGGTGTTTTTCTAGAACGTTAATTCATTTCAAGAAAAATTATGGTCCATAAAAATCCACATCCTCTTCCTTGTGTCTTTATGTTCTTATTACCTGCCCTTTATTTGAATTTAATTGGAAAATAAGCAATAAATACTAAATTTGTTAATGTTAGCATTTAATAGTGTAAGCTGACGCTGCTTTAAAATTTACAGTTCTGCGTTATGTGGCAAATGATTTTAAAAATTGCTTAGTAAAGTATGTTTTAAGTACACCCTCCAGCTAGTACTGTACTTAGATTTTTTTTAATTTGCTCCTGCCTATGCTTGTGCTCACTCACACATACATGTGTGTTTATATCCTTCACTGTGCTGCTGTATTATTCATAGGTAACAAAATGTAACCTGCCATCGGAGACAGATGGTCTGGCATATGTTCTGCTACCCGACTGCTGCCTCTTTGGACACAGTACACTCACACACACACACACATGTGCACACACACACACACACACACACACACACACACACACAAACAGAGGCCCTAAAGCTGGAGACCTGGTGTTCCTCAGCATCCCAGTAAGCCCATAATAAGAATGACAGTGACATTGTAAGGATTAACATCATGGCATTGTGGAGATACAGATGGGGTCTCAGCGTGTCTCTAATGAATGTGGTCTGTGGAGCCAGTAGATCTGTCTGCTGTACTGTATGTGCAGTGGTTTATACGCTGCAGCTCCACTTATTGACTTGGCCTCAGTTCAGGTCCCACTAAGATAAGTGCCAGGTGATGACGTGAGGGCTCTGCGGGTGTGACACACTTAGTTCTGAACCCCGTAGCTCCCAGCGAGCATGCTCCCTGTGTGTGTCTTTATAGTCCAGAGGGGGCCGGGAGCCAAGAGGTGACACATAGCAGCGGTGAGGAGAGGGCAAGGCTGTAAATAACTGATGGAAAAAGATAGCAGAGATCCACATAGGAGAAGAAGGAGTAGATGCTTTCAGCGAAAAGTTTGCTCCAAGAGTTTCTGTACATCCCCATTTAGCAGTGGAGAGAGTTAGGAAGGGGAGAGGACAGTGATGGCTACAGTTGTCCAGTCTGGAGATGGGTAGAGACAAGTGGAAGCACAGAGACGGGGAGCATCCAGAAAGAAAGGCCGGAACGCTTGCGTTCCCCAGAAGACCGCGTCCCCCCAAAGTAAGCCACCTGGGCTGCAGAGAGAGAGGCGAAACAGAGGGCAGGGAAAAGTAAGCCAACATCTGCCTCTTTATAGCTGAAAGAGAGCTCATTCACATGGAGGAGTTAGTCATGCAAGACAGCGGGGTGCAGAGAGGGGACACGGTCACAGGAATGTTAGCACCTCTAAGCCTTGACTCAAAACCAGAGTAATTAAGGCAGCTTAAGGCATCTCGTTCTCTGGCAGTGCTTCCTTTGTTCTCCTGAGCTTGGTAATCCAGCTAAGTCTACCCTGACTCTGCCAGGACCACTCACCCACACAGGCTGACCCATCATCATTGGGCTCAAAGCCCTGGTTGCATCTCCTCTTGGCGCGGCACTTATAGCTGCCATAGGTGTTGGTGCAGACGGGGCGGTCAGAGGGGCACACAGTGGGAAACTGGGTACACTCATCTTTATCTAAGGGAGGGGGAGGCGAGGAGGGAAGGAAGCACACTTTTTGTCTTGATTTTAAAAAAGGATACAAGCATAGAATGGTCAACAGATATGTCTGTGCAACTTACCTGTGCAGCGGCCATTCTCATTCAGAGCAAACCCATGGCCGCACTGTAAGACACAGTCAGTGTGATTAGACACATGAATAACAAATCCTTCAAAGGAGCTCAATATGATACTTAGATCGTGTGTAGGATTCAGAGGTTGTCTGCACACGGCTCTAAACATGGAAGTGGTTGAGCTGGCAGCTAACAGCACTAACATTGCTAACAAAAGCAAAGGCAACAGTGCTGACAGAGCTAAAGGGTCATATGAGCGCAATTCAGAGCAGCTGCTAGAGCTCTTCTTGATCTCAGGTTTGCTGTGTTGTAATTTGACTAAACTTAAATAATCAAGGTCTGAAAACTAGACTATAACTCAGAGATTTTCTTAAACACACAATTATGTATAAGAGCAGGTAAAGCACACATCATGTCAGTTGATATGGTGCTCCTGTTTTCAAAGACATTTTCAATTTAATTGGCACAAACCAGGCAGCACAGCAAGCTGTCACTAACTCTGTGTTCCTTTGAGCTCCGTCATCTCAGTGCAAAGCTTAAACTACCTGTCTGACTTACCACTGCAAGCACGAGACATTTCCCAGCTCTGCGCATAACGGCTAAGCTAACTCTACAGAGCCTAACGATCTTTGAGATGATGAGACTTTAGGATTCCTATGACTCACTGCTGTACCTCTATTTCCACAGTGGGAGTGACTTCCTCCTCATCTCTTGGATAGTGGATCTCCAGCACTGTGTTGACGTCTGAAGGCTCCAGGGGTCGAGCTGATGAACGACCGTCTGGCCAGTACACCTCAACATTGGTGGCGACGTCCTTACCTGGTCAGACACACAGGACAGACACAACACACACAGAGGGACATTCATGTGTCCTTTTAGTGACTCTTGAGGGGTCATGAAGCTTTCTCCTTCTTTTCTCTTTCACTGACAGGGCGGCACGCTCCTCTCTTCTCCTCTCTCCATTAACTGTTTTAATCAGGCAAAGAGAAAGCCCCTCTCTAGAGGGCCTCTGCAGCTCTTAATTAAAGTGGCATTTCTAATGTAAACAGATCTTGAGTTACCTTGCCAGATGGTGAGCTGCTCAGCAGGTGTGCTGCATGAGAGCCAAAGAATATTTCACCTGTTCTGTGTAAGACACCCCCTCATTTAGTGCTGAGGCATGTATCTCACATGATGCTTTTTGCAAGAGGTCTGTCCTGAAGCCACAGTGGTGTAAAGAGTTTGCTCTTTGGGTGTGTTATGAGTAGTTGAATTAAAATTTAGGGCCTCCAGAGTTGATCTGTGTTTCGACAGTCCTGATACAGAGCAGAGCCATGAAGCAGCGGAAGCGCTCCCAGGCCTAGACGACCACCAGCTGACACTGCTACGAGGGCAGAGGGAGACAAGGAGCTGGTTCCTCAGAAACTAGGCCCGAGTCCAGCTGCTGCACCTGTCCTCCAGTCTCCCATGGGTGTCCAATCAGGCTGAAGGTATTAAAACAATGCTTTCCACATGGAGCTTTCTTTCTGTCAATTTCTCTTGTCTATCTCTCACCCAGTGCTGAAAGGGTTAATCAATTCATCAATCATCAATCAAGAAGTCTGTTATCAAGTCAAAATGCCAATCATATGCTGGTTTCAGTAGACCCCCTTACACAGCCTGTTCAAGACAGGAATGTGACACTGTTACTCCACCTCACCAGCTTTATATAAGGTACGATCACGGAATGGGGGTATAGAGTTGTCTCGCCTTTAAGTTGGCAGCGGAAGTAGAAACAGCGCCAAATCGACCTTTGTGTAAAAGGGACCACTGGCTGGACAGGACCATGGATGGGACAAGTGTGATGTTAGATCACGTGTTATGTGTGCAACGCACTGCCGGGAGATTTAAAAAGCAGCTAGTAGCAAGTTTGTTGCTAAATCAAAGAAGAAGAACAGCAGCAAAAAATGTCCGTGAATTCAACAATCAATGAGTTTGAGGAGGTCCTTCCCCTCCAAGCAGAGGACGAGATCAGCTGCCATATAATAGACAGTAAATGGTTGTTATTGGCATATTATGTCATTGTTAGTTTAAAACATGCTGCCCGATGCATACATTATATTTCACACTAAGACCGACGGTGTTGTGTCATTAGTCGCGCCCATCACACCTCTTTTGCTTCTGGGACGCTGGCATGATATCTAAAATCATACCCTGGGGCAACTGATGCCACCATCGTTTGGTTCTGTGTGAAAAAGTAAAGGTGGTGTAAAGAAGAGACTTCCTAGCGGCCCTATTGCATGATCTCTGTATATAAAGGGCTAATGACTCAAGGTTGATGAATTGCTGCTATTCCCAGATTTATATTATTGTAAAAAAAACATAATTTACTTCAAGGCTATGGGTTAAACAAAACATGCAATCTAAAGATGACACTATGAGGTTACAGGTTCAATCCCTTCAACAGTTTTGTGTCCTTGTTGAAGTAAAAACTTACCAAGGCCAAAGTGGGCGACAGGCTCCATTTCACACAGGTACCCTGAGCCACCGTCAATGATCCGAGTGTGTGGGCCGCTCTTTTTAGTGTACAACACCACTTTAGCTCCTCTGGCGAAAGCACCAAACTTGGTTCGGGGAATCACTCGAAGCCAGGCGTTTGTGGCCCCCTAAGACACAGACAGAGAAAGAAGAGGGAGGGTCTAGGTTAAGATTACACTATAATGAGTGTCAAACTGGTTTTTAAGCTTCTAAGATGTCTCATTCACACTCACCTGGTTGACTTTGTAGACAGAGAGCGGCTGTGCTGCACTCTCACCATGAGAGATCAACAGTTCCAGGCGACCATCACCGTCAAAGTCCGTGGCAACAGCTCCTGGAGATCCATCACAGCAATGATGCAACTAAACAGTTCAGGAAACAGCCTACATAACATTTATTACCCTCATGCAGGGAAACATAATGTCCCCACAGTCATGGAACTAATTATGTGGAACAGGTCTTATTTTCTTTTAATAAAGCACATGAGGAAACCCCAGTGGAGCTCTGCTGCCATCTAATGTTAAGATGTTGGAACAGCAGACATGAGGCTTGTTCCTGCAGTGCTTAGAGCTGTCTGTCCGTCACACTCACCAGTTCCTCGCCCTTCAGGCTCTGATGCCTCGCCAACATTCAGCTCTTCTATCTGAGGGTCTCCGTGCTCTCTCCTGCTCACCCTATCAAATCAACATCACAGCAATTACTCACCAAAACACTGTAAAATATTAATACCAGTGGCACTATATACTGTATAAGCAGTGTTGGAAGGTAAGTTCATTTACTCAAGCTTTGTACTTAAGTACAGCTTTGAGGTACTTGGACTTTACTTGAGTATTTTGATTTTATGCTACTTTATACTCTATTGTACTTTGATGCCACTACATATATTTGGCAACTACAGTCACAAGTTAATCTACAGTCCCTGACAAAAGTCTTGTTGCTTATCCAAGTTGTAGGAACAACAAATAATAACTTGACTTGTAGTTGATCAATTGGAATCAGAAATGGCTTATATGAAAGGCAAAGGCCACTAGATTATGCTTATTATACCAAAATAAAGTTGTGCATCATTCACTGAATTTTATCATTTAATTAGGACAGAAAGGTAAGATCTTGCTTGGACAAAAGTCTTGTCACATACAAAAATAATGTACTGTAGAAATGATACTTTATTTTGAATACACAAACATGCTCCAATAACATCAGAACATAAAGTCATGGTGCCTTGGGAAAAAGAATTAATATCGTGTATGACTCCCATGAGCTTGGAGGACTGCATCCATACGTCTCGGCAATGACTCAAATAACTTATTGATGAAGTCATCTGGAATGGCAAAGAAAGCAGTCTTGCAGGACTCCCAGAGTTCATCAAGATTCTTTGGTTTCATCTTCCAAGCCTCCTCCTTCATCTTACCCCAGACATGCTCAATAATGTTCATGTCTGGTGATTGGGCTGGCCAATCCTGGAGCACCTTGACCTTCTTCACTTTCAGGAACTTTGATGTGGAGGCTGAAGTATGAGAAGGAGCACCATCCTGCTGAAGAATTTGCCCTCTCTTGTGGTTTGGAATGTAATGGGCAGCGAGAACCTCTTGATACTTCAGGCTGTTGATGTTGCCATCCACTCTGCAGGTCTCTCGCACACCCCCATACTGGATGTAACCCCAAACCATGATTTTTCCTCCACCAAACTTGACTGTTTTCTGGGTGAATCTTGGGTCCATGCGGGTTCCAACAGGTCTTCTGCAGTATTTGCGGCGATTGGGATGCAGTTCAATGGATGATTCATCAGAAAAATCAACCTTCTGCCACTTTTCCACTGTCCATCCTTTCTGCAAGCTGTGGGCCTTGGCAAATGCAGCACGATTCTTTTGTTGTCTTCTGTTTAATGCTGGTTTGTGAGCAGTAATTCGGCCATGGAGACCATTGCGTGAGAGAATTCGACAAACTGTTCTGGTAGATACAGGGGTTTCTGGTGACCAGTTCTGATGTAGCTCTGCTGCAGTTGAAAAAGGGCTGGCCCTGGACTGCCGAAGCAACAAACGGTCCTCTCTAACAGTTGTGTTACGGGGTCTGCCTGACCTGGGCTTGTCATGAACGTCACCAGTTTCTTCAAATCTTTTTTTTATCCTCTCCACTTGACGTTTGGATACACTGAAGATGTCTGCCACCTCAGCAGCAGACTTGGTCTTCAGGCTCTTGATGATCAGCACTTTGGTCTGTGGTTGAATCTTTGGCATGTTGTCAGCGGTCAGGTTGCACTTCACATGAAGGTCTGGTGTGCTGGGGTTCTTTTTATACACACCTGGGAATGTGTTAATTACAGTATTTGTCACAGGTGGAGCTCTAATCTGTGATTGGTTGAATCGTTTAAAGACACGACAAGACTTTTGTCCAAGCAAGATCTGACCTTTCTGTCCTAATTAAATGATAAAACTCAATGAATGATACACAACTTTATTTTGGTATAATAAGCATAATCTAAAGGCCTTTGCCTTTCATATAAGCTATTTCTGATCCCAATTGATCAACTACAAGTCAGGTTATTATTTGTTGTTCCTACAACTAGGATAAGCGACAAGACTTTTGTCAGGGACTGTACAGATTAAGATTGTACATACAAAATATGTTATAAGTTTTCAAGAAATGATTGTTATAAAGTAAACTACCCAACAGTACTTAAAGTAGTTAAATTTAGCTCCCATTGACAAGCTACAACATTAAAATGTTGCTTTTTATGCATCAGTGATAATGCTTAAGTAATATTTAATTTTTTATTTTGAATGGAGACTTGTATGGAGTATTTTTGCCGGGTGGTATTGCTACTTTTACCCACTATTATTTGACATGGCGTTTATATTTTATACAAATTATTAACAATGAGGTCGTATTTTTTTTTTATTCTCTATTCTATGCACAATATAGATAGTTCACATAACCTACACATAGATGGGGGAATACATAGATGTGGATTTCAGGGGGGGACGCAGGAGACGTTTAACCCTTAATATTTAGAACATGTGCATCTGTCCCCACACCCCCAATAAAAACATGAGGTGTTTGATGCTCAGACTTTTCAGGCTCAGAACCCCCAAACCTGTTTCATATTGATTTTAATTTATTTATTATTTACTCATCATATTATTTAATTTAATTATCACTTTATAACTCTAATATTTCAGTTTCTATAAAGCGTTTTGGTCAAAAGTTATTGTTTTTTTAAAGGTGCCCTTGAGTTAACTGTCTTCAGAAAGACATCACACACATTACCTTAAGTGCCTTTACCTTTAGTGACAAAGCATTTCGATATCCAAGTTTCCTCAAGTTATAATTTCATTTCACAGCGCTTAATGTGCTGATCCTGGCTGCTAAACCCCTCAGCTCAGCTAAATATTGATTAGCTGTATTGAATTAATTATCTTGAGCACAATAGTTTAGGCTTTTTTTTCCCAGTGCCAGAGAGCAGAGTTAAATTAGCTGATTCATCTTCACACTAGACAACGGCAGAGCCAGGGGCTGCGGAGCAGTGACCCCTGTCGGACATCCCTGTGTCCAGAAAGACAAATTCTCCTCCAGTGACCTGGCCTGCAGGAATATTGTGATCCAGGAAACCTCTGGGGCTTACAGTGATTATTGATATTCAGTATGAATTGACCCACCAGCTCATGGCAACATTCATCATGACGTCTGCATCCTGTTCAGAAAAATATGCCAGATCAGATTTTAATTCAGACAGGATGGGTTTATTCTACTATTAAGTCCCAACAATTGATATGTATCATATATTGCATTTGAGAGCTGAGTTCATTAATATTATCTAGAGAGGAAGCCAAACCGTGAGCCAAAAAGAGACCTAAAACTGTCTTAATGAAAGATTCATTCATGTGTGGAGGAGGAGGCGGGATGCCAGACTAGATAAGTATCCTTGGCTGGGAATTTTAAATTCTTCTCAGCTTCCAAGGCCAGTTTTAGAATATTAAATCAAGACACAAGAGTAGTCCATTAAGCTCATGATCGAAGTGCTATTAAACTTACTATCATACTTGTGTGTGTGTGTGTGTGTGTGTGTGTGTGTGTATGTATATGTTTGTGTTGTGTTTTTTCTGTGTGAGTACCTAAAGAGCCTGTTGGCGGAGGGGCCCCTGTAGGCGATGTTATTGAAGAAGACTTCCAGCTCGTTGTCATTGTCAAAGTCAGCAACCATGACAGTGCGAACCGGGGATGGCATGGAAAACTTCTGGGATGCTATGTCCTGAGAAAAAAAAAGTGAACACATGGTACATCAGTGAAACACACACATATACACACACATGTGTACATGTACAGACGCCAAACACATGCAGGAAGTGTTCTTTACTGCCACACTCATGACATATATGTCTATAAGGACATTTACGTCACACCTAATTTAGCTGGTTTCTTTCATATAATTCTATTTTGTTTTTTATTATTGTCATTTTTTATTTAGAGCCTTAGACTGTATAAAAATAATGGACATAGCCACCATGACATCACCCATTGGTCTGTGGACTCAATTTTGAAACATCGACTTTGGCGTTTTGGTTGTTGCTGTCTTTGATTTTTGGAGCCAGAAGTGATCAGAGGTGACCTTATTTAGATGAGAGGGTGGATCTGATTCACAGACTGTGATGACGCCTCACAGACAGTCTGTCACTCAGAGTAGCCACACCTTAAATATGTTTAAGCATGTTTATTACTGCTGTTAAGTTGGGCATTTTAACCAGCCTGTTCTTTTCTTCAGGTCAGCAAATACTGACGCTTTGTCACACCCCTTGGTACGTGTGATGTCGATGCCCAAGGCAGCCCTTAACATGTTTATGAGACGCACCAGGCTTTTATTTAACTCCAACGTAAACTCATCCCATCCCACACTTGAAGCTGAAAGCAAATGACATAGTATTAAGAGCGAGAAAGTCTACGTAGGTTGGGAGGAACCGCAGTTCCTATCAGAGTTGTGATGTGTAATTTAATTTACGTACAGTTGTTGCACACTGCCGATACTCATGTGATGTAATTACACAGCGTTACATCATTGTTATGTAACAAGCATATTTAAGCCCCATTTCCACCAAACACTTTCGGTGACCAAAAGTAACCTTTCAGACATGGTACCTAGACCCTAGGTCCGTTTAATGTTTCCACTGCAAACAGTACTCTTAAATGTGGGTGAGGTTGCTGTCACTCACTGCTTCATCCAGCACTTACTGTATTTCCTTCTTTATCAGTCTGCACCTCGTTTATCGTCCACAGAACAGGCTGCACGCCGTCATTTTCAGAACAAACCAGAACAGGCTAGCTCGGGGGTTTAGTGTTACTATAGCCCACAGGAACGATGCTATGCAACGTTGTTGTTTTTTTTCTCAGAGTGAGGATTGGGATACATGTAGTTTACATAATCCAGTTCAAATTAATATATATTCTAAAATGCACTCAATATTAAAAGTGTATGTCATATAAAATTTAAAGTAATGGTCAAAGTTGTCACGGTGAAATTTAAGGTGTGCTGATGGATGCACGGCGTCAACTCAAACATACATTGAGTAACACAACAAGTAAAGGTTCCACCTTAAAAGTCACCAACACTCAACCAAGTAAATGAAGTTTTTTTTTCTCAGTCTACAACTGCTGTTAGAGGCAGCAAAACATCCTTCCATTTTATAGCTACAATTTACTAATATATGTAAAATTCTTCACGGTATGAACAGTGGTTACAAAACCAGCCACAACTCAGCTCTGAGCAGAGTGACCGTCCGCTATTGACCAGTCAACAGACTGCAGTGTTCACTGCTTCACCTTTAAGTACCAGATCTGTGTGCTAGGTACCCCAACAGAGGGGGGACCAAAAATGGGGACGGTACGGAACAGTTCCATTGGTACCATCCACAACTTTTCACAGTGGAAATGCGGGGAAAAAAGCATACCGAATTGACCTGTGACATGCTGTACTGCTTGGTGGAAATGGGGCATTATTGTAATCCAACGCATGATCGCCTTTCTAAACCTAACTAAGTAGTTTTGTTGCTTAAACCTAACCACAACCGTTTCACAAAATAGATCATGTGTTACAACAAGTTTCAGCTGTATGTCACAGAGATACATTAAAGGTTGTCTTGTGTGTCACTATGGGATGCTAAGGGGCATGACAAAGTGTCGGTATTTGACGAGCTGGGAATGAAAATGTTTGGGTTTTTTTTTTTTAACATGGATGTCGATTGAAAACAAGGATGTCTCACTTTTGGAGCCAACTCAAGTGGCCATTTGAGGAACTTCAGTTTTTGGCACTTCTGCATTAGCTTAATTTTTTTTAGCCCCGGATATTGACGCTTGGTACGGGCAAGGTTTAGGGTTTTTTAGTAATAATCCAACGCTCTGTGAACGTACAGTAAGTCATTTTTGTTACTCTATATGCTGATGACAACATATTGGAAAGATTTAGCCATGAACAAAGGGTATTTTTTTCTGATCTGTCACATCCACAGAAGAGTCAGCGGTTCAGTGTCTTGCTCAAGTTTACTACAAATCTACAGAGAAAGATGTTTGACTGTGCAGAACACCAGAGACCATCTGTATCCAAGGATTTTCAGTAGAACCTGTTGTTATCACGGCTTGCATCCGATGTTTTCAGTTTCACATGTGAACAGGTGATGTGAGCTGACTCAGTGGTTAGGGAGACGGTTTCATAACCTGAAGGTCACAAGTTCAGTCTCCACAACACGTCCATCAATAATCAGTCCTTGAATTAAAACGCTGATCTGTCATCTGCTCCCTCACTCACTGTAAGTCACCCTGGCTAAGAGTAGTGTCATCTAAAGCCTAAAGAAAAGAACAAAGGCCCTTTTTTACATTGTCTGGCATCAAAAAAGTGGACTGCAGCTCTCCTGCCCGAAAAAAGTCTCCTCAGCAGTGGAGTTTTTGCACGAGAAAGTAACGGATATCTCCTCGCTTCAGTGACACGGTGATAAGTCGGGGAAGAGTTATAGAGCAGCCCTTCACTCCCTCCAGTATTTACTCCCTGTTTTAATTATAAGGCTCATAAAGCTGGGGGTGGGGGGGGCTCACAGTGACCTTCTGCTTCTCAGGTGAAGGAGAGGGGATGGCCAACTGAGGGCCACAAGGGAGGGAGGGACAGTTCTGCATTTACTATATCGCAAGGTGGATGAATAGATGTGCCATAAGGAAAGAGAAAGGGACGCTCACCAAAACTATTATAGAGCAGAGACGTGAGATTTATCGGATCAAAGAGGAGAAAGTTTGAGAAATAAAATAAAAAATATTCATAAGTTTTGTAGATTTCTTCCAACAATGTTTTTTATATCATAGATGAATACTATTAATGATATAATAGTCCTTTATTATACCATTTGTTTGGAATAATAATGTAAATAACAGATTATTTCTGCTGTGTACCTGCTCTTGGTACACAATTACTGAGACATTAAAACTTTTTTCCCATCTCTTTAAATACATATTGTATATGTGCGGGTGTGTTTTTGCGAGTGTGTTGAAGCTACTGCAAGGAAAACCTCGGCAGTAGATTTTAATTAAAGCACAAACAGGCCTAATCGGCACTTTCCACTACCCAGGCAAGCTGCTGTTTCAGCCCAATTTAATTAGCGGTTTACTGGAGTGATACAACAGCTTCATTATACAAGCCAAAGGTCAACACGGCTAGTAGGAGTGTCAGCTTGTGTGGGGGAAAGGGGTCTTAAATGTGTTGTGGGCTCGTGATTTAACAATCTGGGTTTTAAAAAAAAAACATCGGCAAGCTAATTCAATTTGTCTTCTGTGTGTTTGTGTGTGCATTGTAGTGCATTCTGTGTGTGTGTGTGTGTGTGTGTGTGTGTATGTGTATGTGTGTGTGTCATGCTGATGGAATTGTCTCTGGGCTAAGCATCACACATTAACCCCTTATCTGACCCCTATAAAGATGTCTGCCGTGACGTTTATCTCTTTGGTAAAAGATGCAGACGCAGGTGCTGACAGATAGATCACCGAGCACGAAACCTCCGCAGATTTACACGCAGCGGAGCCCGTTTCTGTCTCTGCCGCTATTAACCATACCACACAAAGACATGCACACTGCTGGCTGTCTCACAGGAGTTGTATGTCGTCGTAGATTGAGTGAATCACCACCCATCCGTCTTTGAATCCCACTCAATCCTTAAAGTGGGCCAGCACTGACTTGTGCTAATTCACAAGCCATCCATTAGCATTGATAACTCTCGTGATTCACAGAGTTAATAGGTGAGACTTGCTGTCTTTGTGCCGCTTGTTCATTAGACATTGATTCTGGAGAGAAGAAGAGGAAGAAGAGAGCGCATCACTCTGAAACTCTTGTGCACCATTCTCACCATCCTGAGAGAGGAATCACTGGACACACTGAATGAGTGCTGGTCCCTCTGGGTTATTCACAGACCTACAGTACCTGTGAACAGTTTTCATTGGTGTCATGATCCTGGGTTTTTGTTTGTTGTCCATTTCCTGTTTTATTTTTTAGGGTCCCTCCTTGTGTCATGTCTGGTTTTACTACCTGTCTTTGTGTGTCTTCCCACCTTAGTGATTGTCTGCCCCGCCCTGATTTGTTTCACCTGCTCCTCATCAACCTTGCGTTCACCTGTCCCTTGTTTACACACTCCTTCACTTGTGTCTGTTTTCCTGGTCGTCTGTTTTCTTTCCTTGTTTCCAGCATTACTTCTCAGTGAGCTGCGCTTTCCACTTGTGTCTCTTCTGTTCCACATACCATCCCGGTTTGTACCCAGCTTAGTTGTTTGTTGTCTTGTTATGATTAGCTACTTTCACTTCAGTAATTAAACAAAGGCAGGGCACATGCATTACACTGTAGTGTTTAAAGCAAGACTGGACAGAAACTTGTAACAATGTACTGCAATGTCTGTGTTTTGCAGGTAAGCCGATATAATATTGGCTATAAATAAAGACTTGTGTAGCGCAACGTCAGGGGGTTATAGAGATGGTGGGAGAGTTGGCCGTTTATTCCTGCTGAGTGTGTTTTGGCGTAACGTGCTATCCAGTTAGAAGCAGCAGCTAAGATAACTTTTGGGCCGTATAGAGACCCAATGGTGCTATATTTTGGGTGTGCTTTTGAACCACTTGTACCTGACTATGAATACAGTGATACAGTCAGGTCCATAATTATTTGGACAATGATACAGTTGTCATCATTTTGGCTCTGTACACCACCACAATGGGTTTTTAATGAAACAATGAATACCTGCTTAAAGTGCAGACTCTCAGCTTTCATTTAAGGCTTTTTTCAAAAATGTAGTATGAACTGTGTAGGAATTACAACCATTTCTTCACACAGTCCCCCAACTTTAAGGGCTCATAAGTATTTGGACAAACTAACATAATCATCAATTAAACAGTCAGTTTTAATACTTGGTTGCAAATCCTTTACAGTCAATGACTGCCTGAAGTGTTGGACACATAGGCATCATCAGATGCTGGGTTTCTTCCCTGGTGATGCTCTGCCAGCCCTTTACTGCAGCCGTCTGCACTTCCTGCTTGTGTTTTGGGTGTTTTGCCCTCAGTTTTGGCTTCAGCAAGAGAAACGCATGCTCAGTTGGATTCAGGTCAGATGATATGACTTGGCCATTGCAGAACATTCCACTTCTTTGCCTTAAAAATGTCTTTGGTTGCTTTTGCAGTATGCTTCAGGTCAATGTCCATCTGCACTGTGAAGCATCGTCCAATGAGTTTTGAAGCATTTGGTTGAATCTGAGCAGATAATGGTGCCCCAAACACTTCAGCTTTCATCCTGCTGCTCTTGTCAGCAGTCACATCATCAATAAATACAAGAGAACCAGTTCCACTGGCAGCCATACATGGCCATGACATAACAGTACCTCCACCATGCTTCACTGATGAGGTGGTGTGCTTTGGATCATGAGCAGTTCCTTCCCTTCTTCCTTCTCTTGTCTTCCCATCATTCTGGTAGTTGATCTTTGTTTTATCTGTCCATAGTATGCTGTTCCACAACTGTACAGGCTTTTTAGATGGTTTTTGACAAACTCTAATCTGGCCTTCCATTTTTAAGGCTAACCAATGGTTTGCATCTTGTGATAAACCCTCTGTATTTATTCTAGTGAAGTCTTGTCTTGCTTACAAGAGCAGCAGGATGAAAGCTGAAGTGTTTGGGGCACCATTATCTGCTCAGATTCAACCAAATGCTTCAAAACTCATTGGACGATGCTTCACAGTGCAGATGGACATTGACCTGAAGCATACTGCAAAAGCAACCAAAGACATTTTTAAGGCAAAGAAGTGGAATGTTCTGCAATGGCCAAGTCATATCATCTGACCTGAATCCAACTGAGCATGCGTTTCTCTTGCTGAAGCCAAAACTGAGGGCAAAACACCCAAAACACAAGCAGGAAGTGCAGACGGCTGCAGTAAAGGGCTGGCAGAGCATCACCAGGGAAGAAACCCAGCATCTGATGATGCCTATGTGTCCAACACTTCAGGCAGTCATTGACTGTAAAGGATTTGCAACCAAGTATTAAAACTGACTGTTTAATTGATGATTATGTTAGTTTGTCCAAATACTTATGAGCCCTTAAAGTCGGGGGACTGTGTGAAGAAATGGTTGTCACTCCTACACGGTTCATACTACATTTTTGAAAAAAGACTTAAATGAAAGCTGAGAGTCTGCACTTTAAGCAGGTATTCATTGTTTCATTAAAAACACATTGTGGTGGTGTACAGAGCCAAAATGACAACAACTGTATCATTGTCCAAATAATTATGGACCTGACTGTATATGGAGCAACAGTAATATTTTGTGTAACGTATGTTTCTGATTTATTGGTTGAAAGCCTATTATCATCTATTAAATTGTCAGAGGTAAACAAAAGACAGGGCACATGCATTGTATTGTAGTGCTTAAAGCAAAGCTAGACAGAAATGTGTCACAATGTTCTGCCATGTCTGTGTGTTTTGCAGATCAAGACAAGTAAAGGAAGAAAACTATAAAATATTTATTCAAGTGTGCAACACTTACTTTAGGTTGTTTTTTTGTCATGAGTACTTTCACACAGGAGGCGAATATCACGCAGCAAAAAAGCAATGTAACTTTTGGGGGAACAAGGTAAATTTGGCACCATGAATAACCAATCTACCAATTCTGTTGTGTGGAGCAGACGTCACACCACACCAGGGCGGATTTGTTGATCATTTTTGTTGCTAAGCACCCTGTATATTATCACGGCATCCTAAAATATGTCCGTAACTGGCTGTGATAGAGCTTCAGCTCCTGTTTGAGGCAGTGGAATTTTCCATCTCTTTCGCCACCTTGTAAAATGGGATGTACCTAAAATAATTTGTGGACAGAGGAGGAGGACGAGGACAAGGTTATCATCACTGGATGATGTTGAATCCATCATTTTTTTTCTAAAGAATGGGCTGGGGCTAATCTATTAAGACCTTTTTGTTAAAGAAGTGTGGTATGAATCAATTTGATGCAAAATGTTAGCAGGTGAGAATTTTCCATTTTTATTCGCCACGCTACTGCTGTGTTAAGGCATTAAATCTCCCTTGTTTTTAATCTTCATACAACTATTTCCAACACTTTTTTGTATATGCCACATCCTCATTCATATAGCCTTTCCTCTCTCTGACAGCAGCCTTTTTACCTTACCTTTGAGTGTGAACATTTTGAGCAGGTAAATGCACTAGTGATGCATCAAACCACTGTGTTCGTATGAAGCATAGAGAGACCTTAAAGATGATACGACTCAAGACTCGTTTTTGTGTACCTGTTGGTGTTTGTATAAGTTGTCAAATACCAGGAAACACATCTGGGCCCACCTTAAACTTTTGTTTGCGATTATTCAGCTGAATGTACAGGCGATGGGGTCCATTCCAGTTCCCGTAAACGATGTCTGTCTTGCCGTCACGGTTGAAGTCTGCCAGAGCCACCCCTCTGCCATGCTGCATGGGGTCCTCCACACCTACAGGTGCAAGGTAAATACACTTATACCTACTTTGTGTATTGTTTTTGCAGGGTGTCTAGAATTAACTGATCTTAGGCTATGATTTGTTTAAGTGTACATGTTCCTCTCACCAGCCTGCTGCGCCACATCAGTAAAAGTTCCATCTCCATTGTTCCTGAACAGGAAGTTGGGTCCGTACTCATTGTCACAAAACACATCGGACAGGCTTTGACTGACAATCGGACCCGCCACGACACCTCGCCCCCCTGCACAAACGGAGACAAAGAGATGAGGTTTAAAGGTAAGAGAAAATTTGTCAGTTAAAAAGAGGGTGAACAGACTGTTTTAGAAGAAAAAATGAAGCATGACAGGTGAAACAACAGAGAGAACAGAGGCAGAGAGATCAGCACCATAACAAAAGTGAGCGGCAAGAGATCATTACTGTCTTTCCAGGCCATTTCCTCTGGGGCAGGTCTTTCTGCTGACACAGACACCAACTCTGATGGGCCACACACACACACCGACACTCAGATAAACACACCTAGGCGTAAGTGCAAACAAATACAAAGACGCGACACACGCTGAGAATCTTCTACGTTAACCAAAAGCTAACAGTAATTTCCTTATGAAAAGATCTTTGCAACTGTTCAATACGCTCTCAGTATCACCCCAGGATTTTCCAATGACATTCTATAAAGTGAAGTGTCTCACTAAAGTGTCTCATCTGAGACCAGCGGAATCTAATTATGGAGTTGAAAGGGCTGTGATTGCCCTTCCAGTATGCAGAGTCAGTGCTGTGAGTCAGGACTCACTCCTGATTTACTGGCCCGCTCCATCAGTCCAGACAAATATCACTCGCCCCCTATGGCCATAAACCACTAACGTCTCTCCAGAGATATGTAACCATTAGATATACAACTTCACTGCCTGTCCCTCTGCTCTGATTAATGGCAGTTTGATGACAAAGCCATCCACCGTACATCATTCACAGTGATTCTGGGCCAGCTCACCCTGCCCCTCTGGTGGCTTAGATGACATTCTGCATGTAAAAAGATTCGCGGATGATGAAGATTGATTCTGTTATGCTCAAACACAAAGTCGTCTCCCATTTCCAAAACTTACTCAGACATCAGCGTCAAGGACTTTTCAGTGGTTACAAGCGAGGGACCGCAGAGGCAGCGCTGTTATCAAAGAAACAAATCACGGTGAAATCATTCATTTTGGCATTTATTGTTCTCCTCTTCTATACCAAAACAAGTATCCATCACAGGGTTAAGTGAAGTGTTGATCCAAGCCAGGGAAGGGAGCTGAGGTGCAATGATGAATTTCAGTGCTGCTTGTGAGGTAAAGAATCTATTTCAAGGTCATTCATTCAGTTTCAGAAGCATTTAAATGGCAGCTCAAATCTTTATTTTCCCACATGAGCTTATGCAGCAAAGCAGCTTTAAGAACAATAAAACGCATTCAATATTTAAGACATCAGGAGGCATTAAAACCGTGAACATAATAAAAATACAACAAATGGTCAGTGAAATAAAAAAAAAAAACACTGCAGCAAATAGGATACAGCGCGAGTCTTAGATGGGATGTCAGAGCAGTGTTGGAGTGTAGTGAAACCAGTGGTTTAATTAAATTTTTTAGTAGCTTGCCACATTAATATTTGCAAAGTGATTTAAATAGTTAAATTACTTCTTTGCCATTTTTGTGTAGCACTGGCACTACACACAATTTTGAGCCATGAAAGGAAAGGGATAATTATGTATATTTATTTTGCCATTGCTTTTCTACTGTAGTTAAGCCCCTTTGACCACAATTAGTCAGGAGTATTGATTATTGCTATTTATTAATGAATGTTCAGAGAAATTGTTGCATGCTATTTTAGAAGTAACTTGGTTGCCTGAGTGGCCTTGCTTGGTGCAATACCCCCATTTGGACTCGAGTTTCTGAAGGCAGGTGTCTGACTAATGGACATTGAATTCAAAACCAAAGCAGACATTCCTTGCACTTTGCCATGAATAGTGGGGTATTTTTTTATTTTTCGGTTTATATACTCTAAAAAATTATTTATAGGGTTAGTGGATGACACTTAAAATTAGGAAATTTTTCAGCATAAAAAAATTATGTTTGTTTTATTAACATGTTTTAGTCAGTTGACAATGTATTTTAAGAAGCTGGTCAAAATCCAAAACATTTTTGAGTGGGGTGAAATTAAAATAAATAAGTTGGAGTATCTTAAATAAAACAGTTTGACCACTAAATAGCAAAACAACTTTTGGGTAAATATTAAGTTGGTTCAACATATGTTTTTCAAGGTCAAAGCAAATCATGTTGGTTGTACTAAATGAATTGATTTCGTCAGATTATAAAAGACTCAGGATTAACTCAATTTTTAAGTTGAACCAGTGCACATTTTTTGAGAGTATGACATTACCAAGTGGCCACTTTTTGCAATAAACTCTGTGGAGTGGCTTATTTTTGCTATTGGTATTATATTTTGTTGATTTCCTTGCACATTGTCAGTTTGATCATTCTTTACAGAGTAGTTAAAATTACATATTTTAAGTATGGTCACTTAAACAAACTAGATTTTGCCCTCAGGTAGCTTTGATGTTGTTCAACTTTTTCAGTGTGAAGTGCTTGGGAGCTTGCAGAGCTATGCTTTTAAAGCAGCTTCCCGTGCACTGTGTGAGAGGCATTTTATGGCATACATGCACATGGAATACAAGGGAACTGCCCATTGGTTCGACATCCCATTGTTCCGACCATATTAAACTCATTGTAACGAAGTCCGTTCCGAAATCATCATGATGCCCTGTGGTTAAGGTCTGGTTAGGTTTAGGCACAAAAACCACTTGGTTAGGGTCAGGAAAAGATCATGGTGTGGGTTAAAATGAAAAAGAAAGTGACAAACTCATAAGCCGTGAGTCTGCTCCGCCTCAAGCCGGTTGCGGCACACCATACGCCCTCCGCGAGCTGTTCAGCACCGCGGACAGTCGGACTAATGGGCTGTCGAACCAATGACATGGACCCGGAATACAACAGTTAACACCTAATTTTCAGAGGACTGTATCTTCCTTAAATGGATGGATTTGGCTTTTTAGGTGGTTTGTGGAAAGTTGCTTCTCACCAGTGATTTTGTTGGTCACTTACGTCCGCCTTACGAACCAATCAGTAGGGGGAGCAGGAAATGAATCTGTAAAATAACTCCAGCAACTTCCTGTCAACTTTAACAACATTTAACCTCTGCAGAAAACACAGTCTCTGTTTCCCTTTCTGGCATGTACAGTACTATGATCAGAATGACTGAGCTGATTTTGCTATAGTGACGTCAATGCACCTGTATTCACACCTTCTGACATCTGGGAGAACCACACCAGGCCGTGATAGATGCCATCTCTGGGCTGTTGAGCTGGTCTGATGTATGTGTCTGTCGCCCTTCGCCTTCGCTTCCCTGTGACTTTGACTGGAGTAAACAGCTGACAGGGCCAAAAGAGCCCACTAACACTTCTCTCTCTCTCTTTCTTCTCTCACCCTTACACTCATCATGTTCTTTCATCTTTTACTTTTTTTTTTTCTCTCTCTTGGCACCTCCCCAACTCTTCCTCACTCGCCTCCCATCTCACACCCTCTCTGTACTGAAGGCCTATATTTCAGACTCCATGGGTACAATGAGCACATGCTCCTCTGAGGATGTCTGTGTAAATCAGACTGAAGGTCCAGCAGTGCTGGATGATGGTCTATGTCACACACACACACTCACACACACACACAGAGTAATTTCTTCATACCCACCAGTGAACTTGTTGACTCCGGCCTGCTCTGCCACGTTGGAGAGGGCAATGACGCCCTGTGAAAGATCACTCGCTGCCTCATCCATTTCAATGAGAGCGTGAGGACCCACGTTGCCACTGGCATAGTTGGCTATATAGATGGCATAACGGCCTGTACCCTGGGGAAAAAAACAAATATGATTTACATAAATTAATATACTATACTTATATATTTAATATACTTTGCATAATTAGAACCTGGAACAGCATGCGTATCTGAGTTGATAAATAATTTGATGATTCTGCAAAACCCTTAAAGGCTCGTTTCACCCAATGTACAGAAAAAATACATATTTTTCACCTTCACTTTGTGGTATATAGACACTTGCACAAATTTTTGAGATATCTGTCTTTTAGATTTCTGCTGCCACCCAGGTATAACGGAGGTCGATGGCTATTTAAACAATTCAATAGCAGCCTCTCTGTTTCTGCACAGAGAGGCTGCTATTGAATTGTTTAAATAGCAGCCTCTCTGTGCCTCTCTGTTTCTGCACAGAGAGGCTGCTATTTAAACAATTCAATAGTAGCCTCTCTGTGCAGAAACAGTCTTGGTTGCTCTGAATAAACCACAGACCTCAGTGTCCACAGTCTTTTTGGAGCTCCTTTTACCACAGTAATGAGGACACTGTTTTTGGAAAGACACATTGCTACTAATTGTTTTTAAATGTAATTATCTTACTGCTGTGCATTACAGTCAGAGATCTAAGACTAGTGATAACATGTTTTTATTTTATTTTTTTATTCATATTTGTATCTTAGGTAAATTGTCCCTTTAAAACATAGGGCTACTTCATCAATCTGGCCATTTAAATCTGCAATAATAGATTTTTATGGCCACTTGGGGGCAGTGGAAACAAGTTGTAACTTTTAAGTTGTAATAGTGAACTTTCAACACACTCTCACTCCGACCTCCTCACATATTGACGTTCACATACGACATAAAAGGTACCCTGGGTGCATTGTTTGCTGACGTTATGGGACACTGTGTCAAGTTCTGTCTGTTACATGCGTTGTCTTCTTTCAAGATACACTTCTGTTTTCACAGGAAATATACGTCGGTACTACACCGCAAATTTATGTTTTTTTTTTCCTCCAACAACTAATGCACATGCTTGGGTTTTGGCAACAAAAACACGTGTATAGATTTAGGAAAAAAGAGCACGGTTTGGCTTTAGAATCGGGACGTGAACGTCATTCTCTGGGGTGAAAGTCGATGTTTGTTAGACCTATCCACCACTTTCCCGCCATGTTTCCCTCTGTTGCCGCAGAGTGCTGTTAAACTGTAACAGCCAGGTGCGCCTTTTTCGTCGGTTTCTGACACCACAAGTCACTGCCCAAGCACTGGATTTCTATGACTTCGGAGTGAGACTGGGCTTCAGCTTTATGTAAACTGCTTTTAAAGCTGCTTATGTACACATCCAGCAGTTAAAGATCATCATTATTATCTGGAATCCTGTTTGTATCCACCTGTTAATGAAAGTCCAATATTCATTCTTTAAGCTCTGTTTTTGGTCTCTACCAACTCTTAAGGTAAAGAATCTCTCTCTTTATCTGCTAAATGCTCAACCACATATACTACTTCTGCAAAACCTAAGTAGGTAAACCTAAAAATGAAATTTTCTACCTAAGTTAATTTTAAAAAGAAAACAGAATGTGTTTAATGAGCAGAAAATTAGTTTATTTTGAAAAGACACAATACATGTAACAAGCTTAAATTGCCACGCCATCCCTGAATGACCAAAACTGATGCTAAAGTTTCATAGTTTGATGTGTAGGACCACTAACTAAGCATTTTGATTTGGTTAGAAAAAGAGCCTTTTCATTAAAACAGCTGCCTGCTGCAGCTGAAAACGTCACTGTGAGAGCAGTGAGAGTTAATCAAGACAGAGTTGCTGGCCAAACGGCTAAACAATGAGCTGAAACTCGCTATAAAGCTCTGTATAGCTGAGTGGAGCTGCAATGTTCACTGGATAATCCTCTGTATTCTTTATAACAAGCAACCTCTTTCAAATTTGTCACATTGTTTTCACATCCTCATTTGATATAGTGTTGAAAAACAATCAAAAAATCAATTATAGCTGCTGTAAGTAAAAAGCTGGGCATGTTTTAGTGAACTAAAACAGGATAAAATAGGTTACTGTAGCACCACAGTTATCCTTAAACTTTTTTTACTCTTTTCCTGTCTTGAATATTATTTCACCTTTTCCTACTCACACCCTTTTCTTTCCCCTTTATCTCCCTTTACCCTGTTTTCTACCCTTTCCACCCTCTCTCCCAGCCTCTCTCCCTGCTCCTTCCTCTGCCTCCCTTTGGAGATTAATTTCACACTCCATTATCAGTCAGAGTCCCTGCAGACACAAACTCACAGACGGAACCACACTAATAGACTACACACTGGATTTCAATGAGCTTTCCCACCAGGCCTAACATATTTCAATCAATACAAACACATGCACACATGCAAACACATACGCAGACACGCCATTTCACCACTTGTGTTAACTTTACTATATTTTTACAAGACAAGAAATGTAAATGAGCCTAGTTGATGTAAATGTCATGAAGCGTCACATTATGGTCTGCCGGGGTGGGAGGAGTGGGGCGCACTTACCCTCACACACACAGAAAACACTTGACGAAATGAGAATGAGCCACAGTGAAAGACCTGAAGGCCACTGGCAGTTACTTAACAAACTTAAAAGTCAACGATTTTTCAATAAGTCTTCACCCAAGGCTAATTTCTGTCACTGGAATTGGCATTGTGAAAAGTGTGACATGCCTGCCTGCAGAGACCACGCCGGTGCAGCAGGGATATGAGCCTGCACGCCCTTTACATGAGTCTTTACAGCTATCACTGAGGAGCCTGAATAATCTACCATCTCTAATGTAGCACTTTCATTTATTTTGTTTTCGGAGTGCTTTTTAAGAGCGCATTTCAATTATTCTGGCTTTTAAAAACCCACTTATTTTCAGAAGCTCCATCCCGCCTGCCAGATGCAAAGCAAAACGATCCATCAGCTCAACATGAGACCCCTCAATATGTCACCTTTATCAGTTTGTACAAGACTAATGATAGCATGTCACTTTCAAGGAGAATGGGAGGGATGGAGCGGTTGGGTGACTAATTACCCCTCTTTTTTTTTCTGAATGATAACACTTTATTTATGAATAAACAAGACGCTTTGGCCTATGTAACCGTCTGCCATTGTTCCGAATCTGCTCTAATAAAACTTGTTCAGCAATAGGAAAATGTATTCTGCTGGATCTAGCATGGAAGAACACACATCAGAGCTCTGGCTTCCTCTAAAAGCATTATGCCATTAAAAGCAGATATCTTTCCAATCGGTTTGGCAGCTGCACAACCTATCAGTGCTCACTGAGATGGGACTGTGGTTGAGAAAAAAAAAAAAATCTATTGTAATCCTTACTGTCCTCTTCCCACTATTACTTTCTTTATCCCGTCCCCTGATTGGAAGTGAGAACTGTATGCGTGTGCGTGAGATAAGAGACAAAGAGAGAGCGTGTCAGTCAGAGAGAGAGAAAAAGGAATAAAGGAGGTGGAAAGAGGGAGGAAAACAATAGGAGAGGGACTGAGAGAAAATGCTACAGGCAGAAAGCAGTAGTGTGCAGTCATCACTCCTCCCCTCGTACGATGTTCTATAAAACAAACGAGCCCTGGCTTCTGTAATTACACTGGTGCGATGGACAGAAGAGAGAAAATGGCACACCATTCCCCCAAATGAACTGTCATAGCACATGCTGAGAAGGGCGGCGTAGGCAGGGCATGAGTTATCACTGGTAAACAAACAGAGGCACCCATGCATGTACGCAGAAGACACTCTGGGGAGTTTGTGTGTGTGTGTGTGTGTGTGTGTGTGTGTGTGTGTGGTGTGGATCTGCATACACTCTACTCTGTGTGTTAGTGTTTGTGTGTGTGTGTGTGTGTGTGTGTGTGTGTGTAGTACCTTTCTGTCCACACAGGCCACTGAGCGCCCAGCCATACGGTTGGCCACATCTCTGTGTTCGTTAATGTCATCGTTCAGCAGATCTTCAAAGCGTCCATTACGGAACTTAAACAGCTTGTCAGAATATGTTGCCCGACCTTGATGCAGAGAGATGCAGAGTTCAGCAGAGGCAAAGATTGTGCGGGGAGTGAAGAGGTGTTATGCAATACAAGAACCGTGGGTGATTGGAAACACAAGAGGGCTGAAAGTGACCTCTATCATTTTTATAAAAATGAGCGAGGTGAGGCGTTGTAGTTTTGGCAGTGTGCACTCTGTAGCTCTCAGATTGATTAATAGCAGCACAAAGCTTATCTGTTATCTGATGAGGGCTCAGATGAGATAAGCTTAATATCTGCATACTGATTCTCCCGCTTTGTCTCCGTACAAGAGAGGAGGCACAACCCCTGTGTGAGCGTGTGCACATTTGTCAGTGTATTTTTGTGAAAGTGTATCCGTGTGTGTAAAAGCATGTACTGTACCAGAGAAGGCGTTATTGGTGTTGAGGACATAAATCTCCTCCCGACCGTCTCCATCGATGTCACACGCTGTCACTCCGATGGCATTGCCTTGACGGTCTCTCAGGGCGTAGAAAGGGGAGCTACGGTTGTCGACAGCGATGTTGACAAGCCTTTTCTTCTGCTTGTCGTACTTTAACACCAGGTTTGGGCCGTTGTAGCTGTCAACAGGCAGCAAAGGCAAGCTGTTACAACTTCATTACATCAGACTGTCAGCAGGCATTTTGAAGACTAAATCATGGAGTGCCATTTTTGTTCTACAATTCATGAGTAGAGACTACTGATGTTGCCTAAACATCCTGAAAACAGTATTTAGGTCTCTTTATTTATAGAAGACCCTAATGAAGATTCTGTTATGCAGAATTCTGTAAAAGTGGATTTTAAAGCCCCTGAGAACTTAGTTTCAATCTTAAAGGGACAGTTCACACCAGAATCGAAAGTGCATATTATACCTCTTACAGTCTAGATTGTTTTGGCGTGCTTTGCTGAGTGTTGGAGGTATCAGCCATAGAGATGTCTGTCTTCTCTCTAATATAATAGAACTAGATGGCACTCGGCTTGTGGTGCTCAAACTGTCAAAAATACTTTTGAAGAACTCAACAGCAATGTCTCTTTCCAGTAATCATGACCTGGTCATTCAAGAGAATCCACAGACCTTCTTGTGAGCAGTTTCATGTGGGAACTATTTTCTTCCTATGGAACTACACCCACCAATCGTATTAGCACGCAGAAGGAAGCATTCATCTACTGCTAGCTCACAGAGCACCACTGAGCTAAGTTTAGCCAAGGAGGATGCCATTAATGTTAATATCTCATGCTGTCACAAGCACTAGCCTCTTGTTCATCAGTAGATGCCATGGATGTATGAGGCGTTGGTGTTGGAAGTGAGGCCCCATTCATACCTATAAAACTCAGTGGCATATGAACCTTCCTGGTTGTGAAAAATCCCCGAATCTTCTGCAGCATTTGGCCCACAGACAATGCGCAATAGAAAATTGGCTGGCCCAGTATTTTATTTGCATTTCAGCCCTCAGCTAATTAGAATTGGGATAAAATGATTTAATCATGCATCGTAATGTTATCAGACAGAATGGATCAATTCTGATAGTGAAACAAGTCACTTTAAGGGGGTTGTAACGCTCAAAAAAATGGATTCACTGATTTACAGACATCACTGTCCCAATGTAAGTCAATGGGAAAAAGTATTTTTGGGCCCAGTGGCATCATATGACAAACCCAGAAGTTGTACTCGAGTTTGGACACTCTGTCAAGTTGGCCTCAAAGTCTTGCACGCTTCCTGAGGGTATCATAGCTGATACATTTGGTGGGTGTAGTTCGGTAGGAAGAAAATAGTTCCTACATGAAAGTGCTCACAACAAGGTCTGTGGATTATCTTGAGTAACCAGGTCATGATTACTGGAAAGAGACAATGCTGTTTTTCAAAAGTTTTTTTTTTTTTTGGCGCTTTGAGCACCACAAGCAGAGTGCAATCTCACTCCATTACGCTGGAGAGAAGGCAGACATCTCTATGGCCAATATCTCCAACACTCTGCAACTCACATCAAAATAATCTAGACTGATAAATAGCACTACGCAGGTTAGATGAAAAATATGTATTTTTGATTTTGGGGTGAACTGTCTCTTTAAGTATTTCCCTATAAGTTAAAAATTCATGAATAAATATGTGTGTATTTATTAAGAGTATGTTAATCTGCTACACAGGACTGTGTGGTTGACAGTGGTCTGGCAACGTGAGCAAATAATCCACCAAATGTCTTAATTAAAATAAACAAAACTTGGCAGAAATGTTTGTGGAAGATGACTTTATTTACAAAAAGAAGTTGGCTGAGTAAATAAGTATACAGAGCCTTTGCAGTTACCATTCTGCATCTTTTACAACCAGTGTAGATTTTTTTTAATTGGCATAATTATAACCTAATTTAACAACTAATTCTAGATTTTCTTCAGGGTATCAATTAAATCAGTCTTTCTGTCACTGCACCAGGAAAAGATGAAGCAGCAGCTTTCAGTCAAAATCTAATTTTGCCTAAATATTTAGATTCCAAAAACACCAAGCAGAATCACATACCTTTTCTTTTTTACTCTACCTACTGCAGCTGCCCTTACAAATTAGGCACATACTCTTGTGTGGACAATGCATACAACTGGGACATACTACTTTGTCATAACATTGCACCTTGAAGTTTGACCCTCTTACTCATATACATGTCGCGAGCCATAGCATGTAATTTTAAGTAAAAAAAAGAAAATGTATGTAATTTGGAGAGCAGCAGATCTAAAAGTTTTCACGTCACGTTTCCTTGGAGATACAACAAAACGCTAGTTTAAACTTACGTTATAATTGCATACAGTGTAGATTGTGATTGATTGATTATAGTCATTGCAGCTTCTGTCAGCTTTTAATGAGCCGTCATGTGTCTGTGACTCAGTCAATGTGACGTAGCTTCCGCCTTGCAGAGGATTGTGGGTCAGAACAGCAAGAAAAGCATGCTGACTTTCTAATACAAAATGTGATCTTATGTAGTAGGACATTCTGGTATTTTTGGAGGACAAATATCTGATCTATCAGCACTTTAAACACTTTTCTCTGTCGTGACTGTTGACATGGCCAAACAGTCTGATTATGAGCGACTTGTCAAACAGAAGTGGGACCACAGTGACTTTACATGACTTGTCCCTTCTTCATCTATTATAATAATAGTGTAATGCACTTTGCCATGCTTTACTGAAGTACTGATGGTCACTGTAGTCTAAACTAAAACTCTCTCTGCTATCATCCTGACATCCTCTATGAGGTTTGCTGATGTCCTCCTGTCCAGGATACCTGCTGAATATGGTGCCTTGGCTAAATGACATTTATTAAGCAGGGTCATTTCAGTCCATCTATATTCTGTTAAGCATTGGGAAATTCAGTGCTGCTCCACTGGGTAGAGGCAGGCTTGCCAAACTGTTCCCATCAATGGCACTCTATCCAATCACATCCATTTTCATCAGCTGAGTGAGCTCCAGGCACCCTTACCGTCTCTCGCCTTTTAGTCTTTGCCTTTGCCTTCAACCTTTAGCTTGGAAAATGACAGTGTACTTGTATTTAAGTGTCTGATTTAGAGTTAGGTATCTAACTGTGCAAAACGAAAAACATATTTGTGCCTGTAACACTGTGAGAAGAGCAAGGGTGCATTCTGGATTTAGAGTTCACAAAGTTTTACACAACCTGCCTCCCCCCTTTCTCACCCAGCTACAAACATCTCCAGGTCTCCATCCCCGTCCACATCAGTGACAGCCACGCCGTAGTTGAGCTGGGTGGGGTTGTTGTCATAGTCGGGAGGAAGGACGGTCTTGGTTATGGCTGAGAACATGGGCTCTGATCGCTGAGCCGAGGAGATGGCAGGCAGGAACAAAACCAGCCACAACAACATCCTCACCTAAAGGGAAAAACACACTGTTTGCAACAGCTGAATTTGACAAATGTTACTGTCAGAGCTGTTCGTCTTTTCTGCTGCTTCTGCCACTTTTGCTCAAATGCATTTTTCAGGGGTGCAAAGGTGCAGCAATAATATGTCTGAACAAAGCTGCTGCACACCTGTAGAAAAACATCACAATTCCAATCCAGCAAATTCACACAACACTTCCACTGAACAGCAGCACACGTTTGCCTTGGCAGCTGAGGCAAATGAGAATGAAATAAAAACTGTAAGTCATACACTTGCAAACTGCAACACATGCCCTTGCTGCTAATTCCCCAAGTCCATCGTGGGGCAACAACAGCGGGTCGTTGGCAGGGCTTTCTCCTATACTCAGACATAAAGATGAAGATATACCACCGCAATCAGCAGCGCTCTGCAGGGTTAGATCTGAACGACCGATCACAGGCAGACGGGCTGAGGAATCACAGGACAGAAAATCCATACGTGGAGCAGGGCATTAGCCAGAGGCCGAGTGAACACAGAGGAAACCAATACGACCTGATATAACAGACCTGAGGCGCTGCTTCCTCAGAGACTGTGACCAGCTCTAAATTGGGAAAGCTTTTTTGGATCAAGGGGCCGTGTGATGCACAAGTGTCCTTTTAGTGGCTAGTAGATAAAAGGTGAGCATAGAGGAATTGATCCAATCGACCTGTGAAGTGCAGACAGGTAGAGTTGGGCTTTCTGATGCTCTGACTGAAAAGAGAAGAGAAATATGACTAAGGGGAGAAAGTAAAGGTCACCTCATTAAGGCCAAAATAAAGCACTCATCACCAACAACACAGCAAGACTTTCCACACGCAACACACACACAGTCACACTAAATGGTGTTTACAAGCTGACAACTTGATTTGCTCTGCCTGTGGATTTATGAACGCAGCCCTCGTCATAGCGCCCATTCCATCTGAGCCGTTCCCATCTCTGCTGCAGATTCTCCCTTTCTTCTCTGAGTGTCCAGGTGATGTATGGCTCTTTAACATCTCCCTCAACAATTCAATTTAAGATAAAACCGCATTGCCGTTTGAGTAATACTCTCAAGAGCACATCGGCAGGGAGAGGAAGCACCTCCGCTGACACCTGCAGAAATATGGCCAGGGCTAATGCTAGCTCTGCTGGCAGGCGGCACAGCGATAACGCTGGCTGGAGAGCTGGTAGCGGTGTCGACTGTGGCTGTTACCAACAAGGGTTAATTAACAACACCGGGAGCTCAAGATGAGGCAGTTTCTCCACATTAGAGCAGGGTGTAGTGACAAATGGGCTGAGCTGTTTCACACCACAGAGGGACGCTTTACCAACTTGCTCGTATACTCCATGTAAGATAGGGGCAGGGAGCTATAAATTAAAAAGGAGGAGGAAAAGGAAAGTTGAAAAGTAAAAAGAAAAGTGTGGTGACAAAGAGTGCACTCTTTTTGGGGAGTATTTTATGTGAAGATGCACTTGGAGAATCCTTTAAAAAATGGAAAACTAGAGAACAAAACCACTGCTTTTTAGATAAAACAGTCACAGGTGGGCTGCTGAACTTTAATGTCCATACAAATGAGGATAAAATATAAGACAGGGCTTTAGTCCCATGATACTGCAGCATATTTCAGCTGAACACCAGTCTGACAATGGAGAAAAAGTATATTATTCCCAGTAATTCTGTATTATAATAGCCACACTAAGTAATAACTGGATAGAAGAGGGATGTAGAAAAAAGACAGATTGAAATCATTTGGGACCGGCCTGATAAAATGGTGGGGCACTACATTATCCAGTCAAGGACATGCAGTCGCTTCGCCCCGCATCCACTGCAGTAAAAGCCAAGAAACCCGAGTTGAGTCGCCAAGTAAAAGTTGCAATGTGACTTTTCCATGAGCGAGGCTCCACAAAACAATCATTGGGGTTTTTAAGGATCTGCAGGGTCAACAACAATCCCCGCTATAAGAATAGGAAGCATCAAATAAAGTCATTTGTCGTAAAACAGCCATGAAATAGCACGGGGAGAAAAAAAATTGTCGTTTGAAGCAGAGAAATGTTTTCGATTTGGTTATTTATGTTGGCATTAAGAGGCCATTACCACAGCGTGCAACATCAGCATGTGCCTTCTGGAGCGTTCAAGCCCGAGCTCTGATCCTGATAACACTGCGACAAAGAGCCAGCAACATCTTCAGTTTCAAACACTTCTCCAGAGGCTCTTCTCTGTGAAGGACACCCTCACTGCAGAACTCACACACACACACACACACACACACACACACACACAAAGTGCTCTACCAGTCCCACTGAATTACACTTAGCAGTCCTTCTGAGAAATCAACAATTGCTTTTAATTTTAAGCTCCAATTCATCCATCATTTACCACAGTGGATATCAGACAATAAAACACCCCACTCCAATGCACACACACACTGCAAAAACTCACCATAACGCTTCATCTGCTTTACAGCAACACACTCATCATATCATATATATTAAAACATTTTATGAAATACTGTCGTCATGAAAACAATTTTGACAGTTAGAGGAGTGTTTATAGAAAGTAAAGTCTCTTGAATGCATCACATATATGATGCATAATGAATAACTTCTAAATGTATAATAATAATTATTATAATTGTAATTTATATATCTGTAATGTAATATACATGTAATTAGATAAAATGCACAACTCTAAATGACTATAAAGCAAAAAGCAACTAATTTAAAACAAGAAACTGTAGAAAAACAGCCAAAGAAATGTGCAACCATGACAGAAACCTTTTTAAAACATGAATTATATGCTGCATTAATTAATCTATTGTCTTTCTTTTACTATCTGCTCATCGGCAGGTTTTTAATCCACTTTGTGTAGCAGTTTTTAATCCTTTGCATTCACTGCAGCCGATGATAAAACAGTATAATCTAGCATCTCAATCTGGAGTTATTATTTGCTCTAAACACAAAGTTGCAGTCAGATCCGGCTGCACATCAACTTTCTATCGGCTCTGTGTCTGCAGCAGATCCCAGCGGAGCGCTACAGTCATCCTGAAGCCAGAGCAAAGCAGCAGCAGCTTTAACATCACCAAGCAAACTCAGGTACTCACAGATGCAGAGACGCTCGGAAACTCCGACAAATCCTCCAGCGATTGACAGCCCGGAGAGACAGAAAGAAAAGAGGGGGAGGGAGAGGAAGAAGGAAATACAGTCAGCTAATTGCGCGCTCAGATGCCGCAGTTATCTCAAGGGTTTTTCCCACTTATTCCCTTTACACAACTTCCAAAAGATTTGCTTTATGAAATCACTTGTGTGATATTTGAGCCAATGGGCACGCGGCTTGGGAAATATTTAATCACGGAGCCAATGAGGGAGCTGGGAAGCGGTGGGTGGGCGTGTCCCCTGGTGCTCATTATAATGTGGCAGCGGGACGCAGCTGGGATGGGGATGCGGAGCCTCCTCGGTCCAGTTGGGATGCTCTGACTCCTGCTCCATGCACGTGCGACCATGTATTCAGATTTATCTTTATTAATTGTGTTATTAATGTGTTGTCTTGTACATGTGGACGGGCTACTGCAGTTTAAGTAATAGTTTTATTTACCATATATCATATTTACTTAAATGGTGCCCACAAGCAGATTAATCCTGATATTTTCCCCAATTAATTTAATTTAATTTAATTTAACTTTATTCTTTTTTTACTTTATTTTATCATTTAAAATAAGGAATACCTAATTATTAATTCATGCTTCAGCGATAGATATCAGATCACCGTAACTTAAGGTCAGAAGTCATAAGGGTTTTCTTGGGTAAAATCCTCATGCATATGCAACCTGTGTTCTTTATATCATCAGTAATGTTTGAGCAGTCACTCCATACTCCATGCGCTCTTATCTCTTGAACTCTGGCCCCACCCTGCAAACACTGCGGCTTGTAAACAAAGCATCCAGCAGTCAATTCATGGACACAAAATGTTTATTTTTGTCCTCAAAAATTCACTTTTATATGTGAATGTACTCACTTAAATAGACAAAAACAATATTTTGGCCGTTTTAGGTTTTGAGTTTGATGTATCCATGGCCTGACTAGAGAAGTAATTAAAGTAATTAAATGCACATAAATAAAACAGTTTTATGGTATCTAAAGAGAAGCAGGGAGCTGTTTCAGCTCTTTGAGGAGCAAAGGGAATAAAGCAGCAGCACATTTGCATAGAGCAGAGTTACAAGCACAAATAGCAAATGAGCCTCAAAAATGAATAATTCTTTCTTAGCGTGATGAGCAGAAAGTTAGTGTTTTGTCTCATAGTAGTCACAAGTGTGTGTGTGGTATGTGTGAGGGAGGGAGAAAGAGAGAGAGAGTTTGCAGGTTTACTGCTGCCAGATGTATAATTCTTATGTCATGCTCCACTGAGTCCAGCCTCCCAGAGACCCCCAATGAAATGAGTTGTGTGTGTGTGCGTGTGTGAGAGTGTGTGTTGGTGTGTGTGCATGTGCACAGCCTGGTGAAATGAGATGTTCACATCCCAAGGACGTCTCCCACCATAATTTAAACTCACTGGTGCTGGAAGACTTCAAACTGAAAGTGCTGAAGTCATAAAGCAGTGCACTTCTGTCTTTACTGTTATTGTCTGTGATCTACTGGTGTAAATCCACAGGCAGGTGGCTGTGACTCAAACAATGCAAATACTATGACAGAAATGTTAAGCGTCTCAATGCTGTGATTACTGCATATTGTCTCCGGGCTATAAAATTAAGTTAAAGACCCAAAGTCAACTCTACTTTTACTTATTTTGATGGCTCTGGTGTTGCAGTTTATCACCTTGATTTACAGGTTGCAGAGTCCTCTGACACGGTCGCAAAATGTGAAGGGTTAGAGAAAGAGAAAACCCTCCAGGCTTGACGTACTGCAGCGCATGATACCCTCAGCTATTTACACCCTGATCTACAGTCTCTCACAGCATAGACCAGAGTGTTTTTATTTATGAGGGGACAAAGAGACATCTATCAGCACTCAGCTGAAGCCAGTGACAGTGTGTAGTGTGACTTTGAGGCGGAGAGTGAATTGTATTCCTTCCCTCGGGGCAGGCTGGGACAAATCCCAGACAAGATGTTGTGGTTTGTGGCTCTCTCCGCACACTTATCCAGCGCTTCTCACCACCTTATTTCACCCTCACCCGTCGCCAAGGTCGTGCCACCCCTCCTTCCTTAGACGCAATGATCTTAAAATAGAGCGTCTTTAAGAGAAGATGAGGAATGTAGAAAGCTCAAGGGAAGAGTGGGGAAGGGAGGGGTTTTTACTACAGCATGAAGAAATGTCCCCTTTCCTCTTTAGGGGCTGTTGAAAGATGTATAGTGCTACAGCATCATGATGAATCCCCTCCGCGGTGGATAGGAGAACACTTCTCATATCATTAAGCTTTAGTAATGGTCCCAATGCTGCGTCCCCTCTGGCAGGGTTGCCTGGCGTTCACTCCTCTGGCTAACAGGCCTGCAGGCTACCGACAGAGACCTCAGATAGCCTATAGCTGAGCGAGAGTCAGTCTCCTGGAGCTGCTACATCCAAAATGTATTCTTATCAATTCAATATAATATGTGAAGCTTTAATTCTCCACAAAGAAATGTAGCTCTTTAGTTTTAGCTCTTTTAAAATTATATACCAGAGGTGTCAAACTCATTTTAGTTCACGGACCACCTACAGCTCATTTTTTATTTCAAGTGGGCCAGACCAGTAAAACCATAACATAATAATCTATAAATAGCGACACCTTCACATATTTCTTTCTTTTAGTGTAAAGAAGTACATCCTGAAAATGTTCATCCATTTACGAAAGAGATGCTGAACAGCCTGCGATATCTCAAGAAAAATAAGTGAAATCAGTCTCAGTTTTTCCACATTTATTCAGTCTCACTGTCATCACATTTTTTCCATACATTTCCACTCCTGTGTAGTACTGCTGGCCACACCAAACCAAAGTGTAAGGTATTGAGGCAGCATGTTATGTTATCCTCTGCCTTGCAAGCCATTTACAAATCAAAAGTTTGGGCAATTGCTTAGCAACCACCTGCAACATTTTAAGTTAATGTCTGGTATAGATTCTTTTGTATTGAAGCTGCTGATCGACCAGTGGTTCTCTAATGGTTTGCTGTGAGGCCAGTCCAGGTGTGCCATGGGATTTTGTGATAAACACACATTATTATTACAATATTCAACTGGGCCTGTACATAAAGTTATGAATAAATGCTTAATTGACTGTATCAGAATGTTGTGTGCACCCATTTCTTAATAAAGAGTTGAATTCTAGCAAAAAAAAAAAAGTAATTTGATTTACTTTGATTTAAAATACCTTCACGGGGAACCTATTAGTCGCTGTTTGTGTGCGGGAATTTGTGAGTGTGCTACACATTAAAAATCCTGATTTGCAGCCAGTGTGAGGGATGATAACATTTAAAAGGAGAAAGCTGTGAGTGGGACAATGGGTCGATTTATTGTACAGAGCAAAATACAACAAAGCACCAGAGAAGATGACCTACCACCAAAAGAAAAGAGAAAAAAACTGTTTGTAAGAAGTATCATGAAAGCTACCTGTCTTTTTTTTTAATTTTATTGTCTTCTGTTGTGATAAGAGTGATAGCATACGTTATAGACATGATATAAATACAGGTGTGCCTTGAGATTTTGGCTTGCCCTGGTGTGCCTCAGGCACAAAAAGTTTGAAAATCACTGTGACTGACGATATTTATCTTTAAATATGACCACAATACGTATTCACTGTTTTTTCAGACATCTGAATTTGGTTCAGAGTGGAATCACCTCTGAAGCAGCATTTTACATGACTCACTGTTAAACTTGCTCCTCAAACGTAGCCCCTCCTACCCTCACAAGTGCATCAATAATAGATGCGCAAAGTCAACGAGTGGGCCAACCCAGTCTCACTCCGAAGTTGTCGAAATCCGGCACCTGGCCAGTGACTTGTAGCATCAGTCACTGACAAAAAAAGCCGTCCTTTAATGTCGGCATGATACGCAGCCAGTCGCAGTTGTAGTTCAACGGCACTCGGCGACGTCAGGGGGAAACGCGGCAGGACAAGAATGAAAGTTAAGACAACCAACACACCCAGGATACCTTCACATCGTATCTGGAATGTAGAACATGGCAGGTCCATGACCAAACGTCGATTTGTGACAAAGTCAGAGTGAAAATGTGTTGAGTGGGCCGGCTGGGACTCTTTAGCGGGCCGGTTTTGGCCTGCAGTCTTTATGTTTGACACCCTGTTCTATCCTCTCATATGACATAAAATTAAAGCTTATTTTTAATGAGCAGCTCAAACACTTGGTTGACAAAGCACACACACAGACAGAAACCTCGCTCCTTTATCTGTGTGAAATGTCACATGAGAAATCGGTAGAGTGAGTGCCCCTATAAATGTAACCAAAGATCCTCATAGCGAGCACTTTTTAAGAAGTGGTATTTCTCTCTGTAGCTATTTGAAGCTGGCAGGTTGAAAAATATCATGGAGGAAAATAAATGGTGTGATCTGTTTGCTGTGGGAAAAGTGGAAAGTGAGTCCATTTTGTCCTGTTGTATTACATCACAACTTAAGTCTACTTTGCCTCTAGACTTTTAAATCTGTTTTGATGGTTATTAATATGCTTAACTGGTAATTTAGGAGTTTTGTCATAAGTCTGAAAATCTACTTATGTAAGTTATGTCATTCATATGCTTGAATTGATTGTTGGACTTTGGTGACGTTGTTTATGATAATGAACTAAACAGCAATTGTTTTCTTGCATACACTTTTTCTCCAGAAAACATACCGTTTTTTCACAGTTGAACAGTTTCTCTCGTGTTGTTTACCCTCCCACAGTTGTTTATACTCATCTCATGCTCAGAACACACATTTAACAACATTTGATTTTCTATGTGGATGATCTCCAACTCTGATCTTTGAACCTGTGCACTGAGACTACTCTACTATACTCTCCCTCCAGGGTGTGAGCACATGTGTTAGAGCATGAGTTGGTGTGACTGCACTCATGCACTTTCCACTGCACGCACACACACACATACACTCACATGCAGGGATATAGGTTTAGCCAACAGGGTCCTTCATAGATCAGCCTCCCCTGACAGCTCTCTTAAATGTCCTTGGCAGCCCCCCAACCCCCAGCTCCCGTCCCTTCTCTGTTCCTGCACCTTTTCCTCTCTGGCCCGGCCTCTGATAGATGCTGCCATATTTCTCTGCCTCTCTCCTCTG